ACCTTTCCTAATTTTTCCAAAATTCTATTTATAGGGTAAACGTTTAACCGAAATCAAAAAACCTTATGGTTCATTTTCTCGGACAATAGTCCTACTATCAGCTTTTAAGCATACAAATTCAACCACCAACAAATTGATCTCGAAGGACCAAAAGAATACAAATACCAAACCAACATGAAGTGCAGGGCTAAATTTTTACAGCTGTCAAAAACACTTGACCACAATGCTTTGTGGGTAATCTTTATTAAAAAGTTAATATTGCCTTACATTTAAGCTTTCCCTTGTGTTCGGGCTACGACCATTGGCATTATGAAGAAAAATTTAAGAAAATAGTATATTACATATTAAGTTTATTCAAACAGTTTAAACTCGTACATATTGCAGTATATATGATTAAAATTATAAGGAATAGAGTTCATTATTAATAATTTAATTTTCTAGGATTTTTAAGTAAGAAATCATGTTTAACAGCAAAACATTTTTTTTTTTCCATAATATATTAGAAAAATAAAAAGAATAATTTCCATCAGTAAAGATTTGTTTTTTTTTAAACTATACAAACTAAAATTGGTATTAATTTACCATATATATCATTCAGCGATGAAGTAAAAATCTATTTTGGTGCGTTTGATTTATGGGAAATGTTATTTACTTGTTTTGTTTTAAGATAACGTTATGGAGTCATTATCCGATACTTATTTATTCTGAATAAGACGGAGGAATGTTCAACTGTATTGGGGTTTAAGACAACTAAACATTCGCGTGAAGAAACAAAATGTTATGTTCTGTTTAATTTGGTCCAAACAAATTGTCCATTAATTAGATTCTTTAAAGTACAAACTTGAAAATGAGGTTGAATTGTGTAAGATCAACGATAACAATTTTAAGCCATTAGAATCACATGATTGAAACCTTAATGAAAAGATAAAAAAAAAAAAACTGTTCTGATCTCAAAAGTAAAACCAAACGTGATGCATGTGGAAATCCTCGGTCTTATACACTAGTATATTGGCAAAAATGTTTCCATAAAAATTTATGTAAATTTGAGAAAAAAAACACTGGGGAAGTTTGTCTTGTTAAGCCCAGGGGCCATGTTTGTTCGTTTGGATTTAACGACATTTACTGGTCATACCGCGCCCAAAACTATGATAATAGGGGCCAAAATGAGTGAGTCAATTATCGAATCAGAGGCTTTAGAATACATCTGAAACAAAAAGGGTTCTCTCCACGTGAATTCATTCGGTAAAATCTGTTTACGAACATTTGCAAGATCATGATGTCCATCGACGTAAATGACTGCCCAAGCTATACAAATTGGGAGAACAGTCGGCCCAATTTGTTAAAGAGGTAACATTGTGTAACTCCAGTATGTCGAAGTTCTGCATCTAAACAGGAAAACTTGATCATGATGGTTTAAGGCGAAGAAGAGATGGTGATGTGTAAGACAAAAATTGATTCATGGAAGTTTTTTAAATACAGGCTTTTGTCCTATTTTTATTCTCTAGTCAGATTGCAATTAAGTTTAAATTATTGGAGTTTTTTAAAAATTACTAAATTTTTGTAACGGGGTTATTCTTTTGGATGAGAATTTAAGATTCTTTAAATATCTAAGGATTCTTTTTCATCTCCTCGTCTTTCTACGTGGCTTTGGAACCAACATAATTTGATTTAGTTTTAAATTATCATGAAATCACAGAGGGAGTTTCTTAATCAAAATATTATCGGACTCTCTATTTTAACTGATAATGGGGGTTGTTTATTTGCCTTTTTCCCTTTCCTTAAAGTATACACCCAATTTTAAACAAGCCCCCACAGTTAAAAGAGCATTTTTTATTTTGAGTAAACGAATTTTTGTTTTTTTTGGTTAAAAAAAACCCGAGTTTTTATAGGGGAAAGCCAAATAAAAAAATTTTTTTTGATTTTTTTTTAAACTGATTTAGAAAAATAAAATTTTTACGGGGGGGGAAATAGGATTTTTATTACATTTCCAATCCTTTTTGTTGGGGTTTTTTTAGGGAACCCCCTTTCGAAAAAAAACCAACTAAATACCCCAATTTTCTTAAAACTGACTGGTCATTGTTTAAAATTCTTTTTTTTGAAAAATTTATAAATTATTTTTCGTTTACAGAACGATTCCAAAGTTTTAAGTGTTAAATTTTTACCCTCATGTTGGGGGTGAGATTTTACATTTTTAGACCTATGTATTAGGAAATAAAAAGTTAAAATTTTTAATTTTTTGGGAATCAATCCCAGTCAAATTTCCGGGGTTTAAAAAAAAAAAATTTAGGATTTTTAAAAGTTCTTATATTTTTTAAAAAAACACACATTTTATCATTGTTTTTATAAAAAAAATGAATCCAAAATTTAAATAGTGCCCTTTAAAACACAAAAAAATCAAAAAATTTAAAAAAAATTTTTAAAAGTGGAAATTTTTTTTTTAAAAAATAAAATTTTAATTTTTTATAGAAACTTTTGTGAAATATTTTCTTTTCAAAAGGTTTTAAAAAAAAAATTTAAAAATGTAAATTGAATGGAAAATTTTTTTTGGGTAACTAAACCCTTTTTAAAAGGGGGAAATAATTAAAAATTTAATGAACATGCAATTGTAATCTTTTTCAGCATACAAAAAATGCCCTATAAGGCATAAAAACTGAACCACTTACAGAAAACAAAGATAATAACTGCTAATTATACAAGATGTAAAATTAATTGCCTAAAAGGTATGCTGCATGATATTTTCTTGATTCTGATAATAAATCATAAAAGACTTGATAGATTTACTCTCTCTGTATCCAGTGATTCATCACAAAATAGGCAAAATTTTTCTTTGAGATGGAAACTGTTTTATTAAAGATTTTGAAGTGATGTATTACTCCCAATTCCAAAAACATTGTACAATTTCATTTGATCTTCCCTAATATGGTAAATGTTATTCTAGAAAAAACAATCGTTCTCTTAAAAGAATACTCGAATGGTATCTTTACTCAGAATTTTAATTATGTCTGGAATGAAAATTTTTTCTTTACTTTATAATTAATATTCGTATCGTTTTGATTCTGGGTGTGTAAAAGAAATTGCTCTTTTTCGGTGTCTCTCATAAACAGAGTCTAACCCAAATCCGTATCTACCATTCAAAATAATTATTTATGCTCGTTGCGAGAAACAAGTTCTTGCAACTTATCATTGAATCACTTTCGAGTCCGCGTTTCCTCGGGAAACAACCAGACAGATATCATATAAAGAAACGTGTCGTGGGCCCGAAAGAGCTCGATCCCATGATCCACGGGTTGAGAGGCAGACATCTTAACCACCTAGGCCATTGCTCTCTTCTATTAAAAAAACTTCCCCGTTTCATATATTTTAAGACTTTGAACAGAAAATCAGCAGGTGCTAACTTTAACGTGTTGGTTTGACATCTATAACAATGTCCAGCTCCTTTATTATAGTCGTTTTATGAATAACCAATAGCTTGGGAATAAATTTAGGAAATGTATACAAGCAAAATAGTATATCTAAATTTCACTTTAAAGTTTTGTAGTCTGCTATGATACTGCATACATAGAATAAGACCCACAACATCATGCTCCAATTTATTCAATGCTGAATAGTAAAATAAAATCATAGTAAACGGGAGGATATAATTCTGCAAAAGTGCTTGGTAGAATTACCTGTCCTTGATTGTGTTTTAAGTGAATCCAACACCAAATATTTTGAATCAATAAAGGGAAATAAATCAGCAAAATGACTTTCGTGGCCATCTGTTCATTATATTGTAGTTCAAATTTGATAGTGAACAATAATTCAAAAATTATTATCTTTGATAGTTTTTGATAAATGTATCGTAACGAAAAAGTTAACCAAGAAATTCAATGTTAAAACAAGAGCACACCTAGGCGGAGCATTATATGCCCGAAAGTGTTTTTTAGTAAGGATGAAGTATTTGTAAGACATAACATAAATTAAAAAAAGTATTACCTCCTTCAAATAGCAATCCATCTATACAGTTAGTTATATTGTGGGCCAAATGGAACTTAAGTTATGCTCTGGAAACTGTTTTAAGTTTTGAGGTAATAGCGACCTTGAACTTTGACCTTGTGACCCCAAAATCAATAGGGGTGTTCTACCCAATATGGACAATCATCCTATGAAGTTTGAACACTATGGGTCAAATAGAAATTAAGTTATCTTCTGCAAACTGTTTTCAGCTTGAAAATAATAGTGACCTTGACCTTTGACCTTGTGATCCCAAAATCAATAGGGGTCTTCTACCCAATATGGACAATCATCCTATGAAGTTTGAATATTGTTGGCCAAATAGACTTTAAGTTATGCTCCGGAAACTGTTTTCAGTTTTAAAGTAATAGTGACCTTTGACCTTTGACCACAAAAACAATAGGGGTCTTCTATCCAATAGGAACAATCATCCTATGAAGTTTGAGTATTGTGGGCAACATGGAACATAAGTTATGCTCTGGAAACTGTTTTCAGTTTTAAAGTAATAGTGACCTTGACCTTTGACCTTGTGACCCCAAAATCTATAGGGGTCTTCTACCCAAAATGGACAATCTACCTATTAAGTTTGAATATTGTGGGCCAAATAGAACTAAAGTTATGCTCTGGAAACTGTTTTCAGTTTTAAAGTAATAGTGACCTTTGACCTTGTGACTTCAAAATTAATAGGGGTCTTCTACCCAATATGGACAATCATCCAATGAAGTTTGAATATTGTGGGCCACATGGAACTAAAGTTATGCTCCAGAAACTGTTTTCAGCTTTAAAGTAATACTGACCTTGACCTTTGACCTTGTGACCTCAAAATCAATAGGGGTCTTCTACCCAATATGGACAATCATCCTATGAAGTTTGAACACTGTGGGCCAAATTTTTTTCTATTATCATTGTTCTTTGTCTGCAATGGTGGCATGGGTAAATTCAGATGCCACAGTCAATCTAATGATAAAGGTATCTGTAAATTAGGGGTTTGAATAAAATAGAGTACAAAAATTATCAATTTTATTGAAATAAATAAATCTATCAACCATGAACAAGATAAAAAATTTAAACTTTCTTATTTCAACAACAAGTACTACCTGTAAAAGAAACTTTTATTATGACAATTTCCATTAAAAAACATGCATGTATAATCAACCATCTAAACATTTCATTTATTATGCACATTAAAATAATGTAATATAAATTATATTTGAATAGTTACATAAATGATTTACCTATACCAATCAAAAAATGCATCAAAACTATTGTCTTAAATTTAATTTAAAACTAAAACTTTTTGTGGCTTGTAATGTTAATGACATTTTTGGTTGGGTTTTACGTCGCACCAACAGATTGCGGTCATAACTTTCCAGATTTACTGGTGGAAGAAGACCTGTGTATTATTTCAGGCACAAACAGGAAACCAAGTAGAACCACCGATATTCTGTATGTAAATGTAAAAGTCTTAGAGAAAAATGATGTTGCTGTTATTTTATTGGTACATCTCCTACATTGACTTCTCCATGTTATCTTTCATGTTGGGAAAACATTTTCCCAAGTTTCAACTTCAATAATAAATTCAAATACATGTATTATAATGAATATTTAATGATCAAGGAAAGTCCAAACATAACATGTATATAGATATATTCATAAAATATGTATTATAATTTTGATTATGCAACATTGCAACAAGTTGCTATTATACATTTTTAAATCACTGATATGTTGTATTGTAATAAATATTTCTTTTAAATAATAACATAAGACACATTACATTGTACCAGTAACAGATAGATACATGTATTTCATAATGAACAGACTTTGTAATAACAGAATAAATTTATGGTATTCTAACAGGACCCGCATTTTTCCCTATTGAACATAGAAGAACCGAAAGTGTGTGTTATTATGCTATAAAATCACTGTTTGACCTTCTATATTAAGACATGTGATGTAATCATTATACATGTGACGTAACCACTATAAAATTCAATGCACTGACAATAAGTATGGAAACAAATCAGGCTCAATTTTGCTTAATAGCAGGTACGGCAGCATTTATTTGTTTATGTCGTGTTAGAATTGAAATAATATATCCAAATCGGTGATTTACGGTAATTGCTTGATAACATCACTGTTTATCGTTCGGATGCGCATCAATATATCACTCGGGCTACGCCCTCATGATATAATTCCTCACATACGAACACCAAACAGTGATGTTATTGAGCGATAAAATCACAGTTTGGGAAATATTATTTTTAAATTATTGAGTAGTACAATTACATAATTATATTGCGTATTTTTGGTTCGAATTTGTTTAACATGAAACCAATTAAAGGGAAATTAGCTAGGTTTTAAAGTTGGATTCAACGATCATTTCTATAGCACATAATTAAAGACTTTAGAAAAATATTTAATGTGATTCTTTTCCACAATACTGATTTAAAATTATTCTCTTCTATCACATTACAGAAACACAATATTACAGTAAAAATAGTTCTTTTCATACTGACAGAAAAATTATATTACATGACAAAATTCCAATAAAAAGTTATTTTCTTTCATACAGTCAGATTTGAAATATCACAAATTAACAATTGCATGACGTTAGCGCCTAGATTAATTACTCTTAAACAGAAACAGATATGTTATCAGTTATTTTGTTTTCATAACATTTGTAACTACTTTGTGAGGAGTATTCGTCTAATGTGTTTCATCTCTGCCAACATTTTTTTTATGTTTTCTTGCTACTGATTTAAATCCAAATATTAGTATTTTATCTAATAACAATGCTTACATTCTTAAAAATATGTAATTAAAACAACATTACTACAAAAAAATGCTATCTTTTAAAAACTGGTTTCAGGTAAAGCACAAATTACAGATATTCTTTGTTCCAGGTTCCTAGTTGCAAGACTGTTCTACAATATGGTAATTAAGGTAGTACACCCCTAATGCCCTATCTCCACTTTGAAGAGTATTCAAATAGGCTAAAATCTCTGTAAAGTGTATTGAAACTGAGGGGGCGTGGGTTCAAACCCCAGAAGGGGCAATTTTTTTTCTTTCTTTTTTTTCTTTTTAACATTTTTTATTAATCTCTCAGACCCCCTATGGAAGAAAAAAGTGTTTTATTTTAATTATATAATTATTGTAGGTATCTATTTACTAAATAATGCCAAATTTAATAGCAAATATGATACCAGATATTTTCAAAGTTTAATAAAATAAAAACTAAACGGTAAAAGTATTTTATATTTTGCAAGACCAACCAATATACATTAAAGAAAATTTAGGCAAACTTTGAAAATAGCCCCTCATTTTGGAAAATTTTAGGGATATTTTAAATAAGGCTTTTTACATAGGGAAATGGTCAAATTAGTGTTAAAAGTGGGTGGGGTAGGGTTACATTTTTATACATATTAAAAACATTTCGTTTAAAAACAATCATTTTGCTTGTTTAATTTGTTACCTAAATGTCATTATCTATTTCTTAACAATGAGCAAAAAGAAAACATTTATCATAATGATGATATTATAGATTATTTAGAGTTTCCTCATTTCTGAAAAAATCCCTTGTAATGGCAAAGTTTTAGTTCATAAAAATGTCCATATCTCATAAACCACACGGTAAATTTTGTTTAAATTTTGCATACAGGTGACATTTAAGGCATATAACTGTCCTATGTTGTCAAATTTACAATTCCTTATAGTGCCCATTAGGCGTGTACTACCTTAATGTGATAAAAACTAAGTAATTAAAGTGATAAAAACTAAATAAAAATATCATAACACCATTGCAGGTGTCATATTAAAAAACATTTTCTTAAATGTGACACTTCACCCAGTGATATCAAAATATCAAATGACAGTACTAACATGATGATTTCAAATATCTAATATATACTCCACAGATGATAAAGGTCACTTTAAAGGGGCTCCACTGAGGTCAAAAACCCTGAAAATGTAATACTTGAAATTCTTACATAGATCAAATGAAGCGCATAAAATGAAAAAATCTGCAGAGGAAAATAAAGAAATGTTTTTAAAATTAAATTGACAATTGATTTTGTGTGTGATTCTGTGACCAATTTGAATGAAAAGTTTTGCAATGATTTTCATTTTTTTTTTACCATTTTGCACAATAAAATTGATGTTTCTGGGAAAACTTGTGGAGGGAATAACCTGAAAGTTTGAACACAAGTACAAACCTCTATCAAATGGTAAATAAGTCTCAGAAAAATATTTCCAAGTTGGGTCATATCAGAAAACCTCATTGGATTCCCTTTAAGAGTTCAATGTAAGATTTGGAAATAGCACATATATAAACAATGAAATATAGAATTGAATATTAAATAAAAATTGTAACAAACAATCACAATAAAACATTTGATCTTGCATAAAGAATAAAAAAAATATATACATCTTATAATTCTAAAACGACACAGAAAAAAGTATCTGAACATAAAATAACAAAGTCATGGAATAATTTTTAAAGTAAAACATGTGAATCTAAAGATTAATTCACAAGCAGATGGCTAGTGTCATTAAAACTGGAGGGAAAAAATAGGTTACAAGAGCAAAATATAAAAATCTGTACAGTATACATTTATAAAATAAATCAAGGTTTTGTGTTACAGAGATTCTGAATAATAATCTCATTTCAGAAATAAAGATATTGCATTATAATGAGCCACGCCATGACAAAACCAACATAATGGGTTTGCGACTAGCATGGATCCAGACAAGCCTGTGCATCCGCGCAGTCTGATCAGGATCCATGCTGTTTGCTGACAGTTTCTTTACTCGTTATAGGGTTTGTAGCTGTTCCCTATCAGTTTCTCTACTTGTTATAGGGTTTGCAGCTGTTCCCTATCGGTTTCTCTTCTTGTTATAGGGTTTGTAACTGTTCCCTATCAGTTTCTCTACCTGTTATAGGGTTTGTAGCTGTTCCCGATCGGTTTCTCTACCTGTTATAGGATTTGTAGCTGTTCCCTATCAGTTTCTCTACTTGTTATAGGGTTTGTAGCTGTTCCCTATTGGTTTCTCAACTAGTTATAGGGTTTGTAGCTGTTCCCTATCGGTTTCTCTACTTGTTTTAGGGTTTGTAGCTGTTCCCTATCAGTTTCTCAACTTGTTATGGGGTTTGTAGCTGTTCCCTATCAGTTTCTCTACTTTTTATAGGGTTTGTAGTGGTTTCCTATTGGTTTCTCTACTTGTTATAGGGTTTGTAGCTCTCTTTTTGTTATAGGGTTTGTAAGCAAACAGCATGGATCCTGATCAGACTGCGCAGGCTGGTTTGGATCCATGCTGGTGGCAAACGCATAATGTTGGTTTTGTATGGCGCAGCGCATATTTAAATGAAACAATTTGAACATTGAAAGAAGTGAGGTACAGATACATTACGTATATGACATTATACAATATTATTTTTCACTTACATTAGAATGGCACATTTTTTATACTGGCAATATTCATTATACTTGCAAGCAAATACTAATACTTAAATAAAGCAGATAATACTTATAATAACTTATTGCGAAACTAGTATTAACATATTTCAATCATGATCAAAATAAACAAGAGCTGTCACAGGAGACAGCGAAGCTCGACTAATAAAATACTGGACGCAGTAAGGAGGACAAAACTGTGAAAGAAAAATCAATTAGGTATAATTATGTATTAAGTTATAGTACAAAATAATATTTGTTAACATAAATTCCAAGATCAAGGGGAATAATTCTAGAAAAAGTCATGCTAGAGTTATGGACCTTGTCACACAACATTTGAGTAATGATAAGAAATATATATTTGAAGCTTGAAGTAGATACCTTAAAAAGTAAAGAAGTTATTATATTTCTTAAAGAAAATCCTAAGTTCAAAGAGAGATAAATCTGTAAATATTGCTTCAAGAGTTATGAACATTGTCACATAAAATGTAATTGATGATAAGGAATAAGTATTTGAAGTTTGAGGTAGATACCTTTAAAAATAAAAAAGTTATAATAAAAAATAACAATTTTCTAGTCAAAAAATATTAGTTTATGGGGAGATAATTCTTGCAATATTGGTGCTAGAGTTATGAACCTTGTCACATAAGATGTGGATGATGATAACGTAAATATATTTGAAGTATGAAGTTGATCCCTTTAGAAATAAATTAGTAACAGTAAAACATAATATTTTTTATGGAAAATTCTAAGTTCAAAGGGAGATAAATCTGAAAATATTGGTGCTAGAGTTATGAACCTTGTCACATAAGATGGGGATGATGATAATGTAAATATATTTGAAGTAGGAGGTTGATCCCTTAAGAAATATAGAAGGAACAGTAAGAAATAGTACTTTTTGAGGAAAATTCTAAGTTCAAGGGGAGATAAATCTAAAAATATTGGTGCTAGAGTTATGAACCTTGTCACATAAGATGGGGATGATGATAAGGTACATATATTTGAAGTATGAGGTTGATCCCTTAAGAAATAAAGAAGTAACAGTAAAAAATAGTATTTTTTAAGGAAAATTCTAAGTTCAAGGGGAGATAAATCTGAAAATATTGGTGCTAGAGTTATGAACATTGTCACATAAGATGTGGTTGATGATAAGGAACATATATTTGAAGTTTTAAGTTGATACCTTAAGAAATGACAAAGTTATAGTGAGAAATATTTTACTGCACCAAAACTTTAATCTAAAATCTGGACGCGGACGCGGACACCGACTCCGGGGCGAGTAGGACAGCTCTCCATATACTTCGTATAGTCGAGCTAAAAACTAAGACCAATAGTAAAATAAAATTAAGGTTTGGAAATTTTTTATATAAGTTATCTGTCCTTGAAATGCCCTAAAATGATATGAAACTCAAACTTAAGGACAGATAACTAAATCAGAGCAGTCAGTGACCCCAAATAGTTGCCAACTGAAATGTCCACAACCATATCAGAGTAAAAATCCATTGAATATTGCATTTCATGAAAAGAAAACAATGTTTACAACCATTCAAAAAACACCTTGTATAATCCAAATTGTGGCAGCTTTGCAAATTTAATGAATTTGGTGAATAACAATGGAACCCTGGATTGCTAAAACCATATGCCTTTTCCTGATTCAAACCTTTAACAATTGTTGCAGCCACAAACTAACTTTGCTGATACTGGTATAAGAACACTTGCAATAAGATATTGTTTATAGATTCCGAAGTATTACCGATGGCAGGCGTAATGATATTTTTCTGGTATGACCCTTGAAGTTGTCATGGTTGTAAACAAGAGGGCCATGATGGCCCTGAGGTCGCTCACCTGTATATAGCCCCCCCCCTCCCCCCTCATAAGAAGATGTTTCATGCTAAACATCTAAGCTCTAGCTCATTGGCTTTTTAAAAGAAGATTTTTTTTAGTTTTTACTATACACATATAGTTAAAAACAATGACACCCCTGGGGCGGGGCCAGTTTTGACCCAAGGGCTTTTATTTGCACAAACTTTGTAGACACTTACTAGAAGATGTTTCATGCTTAATATCTAAACTCTAGCTATTTGGGTTTTTTCAAAGAAGATTTTAAGTTTTTGCTATACACATATAAGGAAAATCAATGACCCCCGGGGCCGGGCCAATTTTGACCCCATTGCTTTTATTTGAACAAACTTTGTAGACACTCACTAGAAGATGCTTCATGCTTGATATCTAAACTCTAGCTATTTGGGTTTTTTCAAAGAAGATTTTTTAAGTTGTTGCTTTACACATTTGGAAAATCAATGACCCCCCGGGGCAGGGCCAATTTTGACCCCAGGGCTTTTATTTGAACAAACTTGGTAGACACCTATTAGAACATGTTTGATGCTAAATATCTTAGCTCTAGCTCTTTGAGTTCTTTAAAATAAGATTTTTAAGTTTTTACTATATGCATATATAAGGAAAATCAATAACCCCCTGAGGCGGGGCCAATTTTGACCCCTGGGCTTTTATTTGAACAAACTTGGTAGACACTCATTAGAACATGTTTCATGCTTAATATCTTAGCTCTAGCTCTTTGGGTTCTTTAAAAGAAGATTTTTTAAGTTTTTACTATATGCAAATAGGGAAAATCAATGACCCCCCGGGGCGGGGCTAATTTTGACCCCAGGGCTTTTATTTGAACAAACTTGGTAGACACTCACTAGAAGATGTTTCATGCCAAATATCTAAGCTCTAGCTCTTAGGATTTTTTAAAAGAACATATTTAAAGTTTTTTTCTTTCGGTTGCCATGGCAACCAGAGTTCTGCATGGAATTAAATTCTTTGAACAATTTCAAAGGTGACCACCAAAGGAACATTCCTGTGAAGTTCGGATGAAATTGGCCTAGTGGTTTTTGAGGAGATGTCATTTAAAGTAAAAGTTTACAGACAACGGACGCCCGTCGGAAAGCGATCACAAAAGCTCACCCTGTCACTTTGTGACAGGTGAGCTAAAAACACATGATTGTCATGTGACTGTCTCTGACTGGACTCTTCTATAGTTGCCATAACTACGAACAGAGTGTCTGCTCCTGAAACAACAGCACAATTGACGACAGTTTTGCTTCATCCTAATCAAAGGTGGCCTGAAAAAAATCATAAAAATTTTAATTAAACAAGTAGTACTGACAAGTTATCATCTTTGAATATATTTAAAATAATTTACATACAATAAACACATTTACTACAATATTTAAACCAGCAAATCTTTCAAATTTTCATAAACATTAATTTACCTTTTCATCCATTTTCTGACATAAAATGTTAGCATCATAAATCCTAAACCAAACAACAAAACTGTTTATTTACTGTATGTATGATTGTAAATAAAATAAATAAGCTAATCATTACATCCCGAACTTATGCAAATAAGGAGAAGTAGCATATTTATCTTTAATTTTTTATATAAAAAAATAGGAATTATGAAATATCATTATAACAGTTATAAATACAACTGTTGATGAGAAAGCTAGCTTTTGCATTAAAGCTATGTTTCTACATTGTCCTCAATACCCTATGGACAATCACAAAAATATATGATAAATAAATCAAGTTTAAGAAGCCAATTAATGATTATAATCAACACTCAGGATAAGAGGCTTATGCAAATTGTTTCATTGTCCTAAATTTTCTAATGGCCTCTTGCTTGCATTTACCACAACCATCCCTGATACATTTTCCTAAAGGTTTTCATTTCATCTAAATAAAACAAATAGTTATTTTTTTGTGTGCTGAAAGTTTCTATATTAAAATCTATAAACTATAACTATAAACGATTGTTAATTCACAACAGGGTAATTCCATAATTCCATGAAGTCACAGAATCCATGTAAGCAGTAATTTAGCAAAAAACACCCATACATTTACATAGATAGTATAAATTTGTTATCATCATAAGCAAGAATGCTATCAATTCAATCATTTAGTTACAAATTCTGAAGGCTGAATAAGCAAGTCTGCTATTGTTCAACATGAGATGCAATGCATAATTTAAGCTTTTGTTTATGTAACTCTTAGCAACAAATTTGTAATTCGTAACTTAACAACCTCAAATCATTAACCTTAGTTTACCCTACACCGTCAACTATAACCTTGCATGCAATATAGAATTTATTTTTGTTTACATGTTTTCATATACTATATTTATAGAGCACACATGTTAAACATTCAGAAATACAATGTCAAAACTCACTTAATATAAAGAAAAAGTTTTGTTATGTTTTTAAAAAAATTGATATCCTTGAAATATATTTTTAATTTTTTAATGCTGTTTACAATTTAACATGTTATGTTTTCTCCGACTGTTATAATATTTGAGCAGACACCTGAATATTTGTATTAAATTTTTACTAAGATCAATAGTAAGAGAAAAGCAGAAATAAAGCTGAAAGCAGAAACCAATCCAATAACATAAATGCAGCCATGTCACATAAAAATGTTATCAATATTTGCTAAATGTCTGCCATGTCTAAATAAAATAATTAGCATTTCTAATGTTTAAATCTGCTTTAAAGACATTAATTACGCAGGTACTTGATAATAATATCTTGAAAAGATGATTAAAATGTCAATTAACACAATATTTCAGGCTACTGGTTCTGGTAGAAGAAACCAGGTATGCCTACCTACATTACTTTATATTTTTACAGATACTTAAGTACTAATCTTCAACAAGCTGGCTTCAGAGTTAGAAACTAAATCCCTTGTAAAAACTCTAGCCACATTTTGATATCTTCATATTTTGAACACAATTATATTCACCATGTACAATGCCTTTATCTATGCAATGCTTGCTTAAGACTTTGTAATTGTTCTGTTTAGAAAACGCTGAATGAATTTTCTCATGTAGAGCATAAAACATTTATACCAAGATAGGTATAGACTTGGTTTAAACTGTACCCTACAGAAAACATAAATATCAGATGAACATGGCATATGAATTCAAATATCTATTCTATCCAAAAAAAACCCAAACCATAACTATGAGAATTTACCGTGATATATTTTAGCTACTAGCAGTTTGTGTGTTAATGCAAAAGCAGCCTTTAAACATATTTGTCACGCTGAAAGTTGGAAAGTATCACAGATTCACACAACAAATTTAAATATTCTTACATGGATGACCTTAATCAATAAAATTATTACACAATATTAATTACAGACATTACAGTATTAATGTAAAAACAATTTTCACTCTGGAAGTTACAGACAATAAACATCAAATAAACACATTACTGCTTTAACAATTACTTCATTTTATTTCATTCAACAAAAAATGAATACTGAGAATAACTTAAAAAACATACTGAGTATTGCAGATCAAAAACTATCAAATAAATACATGTTCTATAAATAATCTTTCAAATTTAAAATTATCACCTACAGAGCAGTATTGATACAAAGACAAGTTAAAGTTCAAATATTGAACAATTAAGGTAAGTTTTTAACAATCCACCAATAGAGAAAACATTTAAAACAGTTAGTGACAAGTTGGTGGAAATTCGAACAAGAGCTGTCTGCGGACAGCCCACAGTGCTGAATATGCTTGGACGAAAAAGGGAGATAATAAAGCAAAAATGACTTTCAAGATTATCTCCTCCCTACAAGTGCATTTTAAATTTGATAGTGAACCAGTTATAGATGGGTGTGAGTATCTTTGATACTGTTTGAAAAATGTTTCTAAGTAAAAATTTTACCAAGAAATTCAAAAATCTTAGTTGAAAAAGAGGCATTTCTTTGAAAAAAAAATAAGAATCATCTGCCCTTTAGAATGGCATTTTTTATGACAATAAACATGTGTATGTAGTGAATAGCTTTTACAGTTTCTGAGAAAATGAACCTTAACGCAAAGATTAACCGATGCCCACACCAACGCCAGCTAAAGGGTAAGACAATAGCCCCATCTTTTCTCTAAAAAGTATAACAAAAAATGTTTTTAACTAAAACATTAAAATTAAGAGACATAGTACCTGAATGAATAAAATCCCTTTATGTTTTGTTGTTTTTTTGTGTAATACTATAGGAAATCATATCATTCTTTATCACGTTTATTGGGTGACGCTAAGTAGCTTATGCTCGGTAATAGTCATTTTAAGTGAAATGAACTAATAATACTGAACTGACTACTACATAAATGTATAAATATAGGAATTGATATCAGTGTGCTCATGATTTATAATTGGTTAATCATATAATGACTGTTAAAAAACATAATTTTTCTCTTACTTTGTTTTCATTTCAGCAGACACTTGTTCTAGCGTTCTATTCTTAGTTTCTGGCACAAAGGAGTAAATAAACATAACACTGAAGGCACATATCACACCAAACACTGTAAAAGTCCATGTCACACCAAGGGCATCTAAATAACATAAAACAGAGCATTAAAACACTGTAAAAGTCAATGTCACAACAAGGGCATCTGAATTACATAAAACAGAACATTAAAACACTGTAAAAGTCCATGTCACACCAAAGGCATCTGAATAACATAAAACAGAGCATTAAAACACTGTAAAAGTCCATGTCACACCAAGGGGATCTGAATAACATAAAACAGAACATTAAAACACTGTAAAAGTCCATGTCACACCAAAGGCATCTGAATAACATAAAACAGAACATTAAAACACTGTAAAAGTCCATGTCACACCAAGGGGATCTGAATAACATAAAACAGAACATTAAAACACTGTAAAAGTCCATGTCACACCAAAGGCATCTGAATAACATAAAACAGAACATTAAAACACTGTAAAAGTCCATGTCACACCAAGGGGATCTGAATAACATAAAGCAGAACATTAAAACACTGTAAGAGTCCATGTCACACCAAGGGCATCTGAATAACATAAAACAGAGCATTAATACACTGTAAAAGTCCATGTCACACCAAGGGCATCTGAATAACATAAAACAGAACATTAAAACACTGTAAAAGTCCATGTCACACCAAGGGCATCTGAATAACATAAAACAGAACATTAAAACACTGTAAAAGTCCATGCCACACCAAGGGTATCTGAATAACATAAAACAGAACACTTAAACAACAATTAACTTGTATGAATGTTTTTCAATTTATGTAGTTTTGGCAAATAGCTTGCTGTATCAATATGACATTATTGTTAATTTTCTTATTAAATGAACTATAAAATATATCATATGATATAAAAAATACACTTACAAAGTATAGAATGCCATGGCTGCTTTCAAATATTAACAAATACAGAATAAAAGTTAATCCACTTCAGTGTAATAACTGTGAAGGAAAAATGATTGCTTTTGCAGACAAATTATATATTCTGTTCCCAACACACGAGATATATACCACCAGCTAGAAATTCAAGTTTGGTTTGTGTCACACCAATTTTGAAGGTTCAGAGTAGAGCTATATCTGCTCTAATAATTAAAGTGACAATATGCCCATCCAAATGTAAATGGAGAGTGCACAGGTCAAAGACAAAATAATTGTAGAATTAGCCATAGCTGCATTCAATTTTATAGTCTAGTTCATGTGTGTATTCAATAAACCAAGGGACTCACAGATTATTCTATAAATATCAATCATAATATGTTGGTAATGTTCTACTGACAAGAGTGAAGTAGTCTTTTATATTTTAGGCAGTTGTAATATTTCATCCTAAAAACTTTTCATTACCAAATATTGGTCAATGACCAATATAATACCATAATCAATCTTTTAATAAATTCAAATAAATATATAGTCAATTCAGCTTAATTTGACAACAAAAATATGAGCATGATATCACTTTAACTAAGTTTCTATATTAGATTTTAACAAGTTATGACATGACATTTCCTTATTGTTGTTTTCTTTAACATGACTTTTTTCAACTTACTCATGACATCAAGGAATGTAAAAGTAACAATAAGATTTGTTCCCCAATTGAACACTGTTGCTATAGCAATGGCACGTCCTTTCACTGTTGCAGGAAATATTTCACTCAGCACTAACCATGTTACTGCAAGTAAATAAAAGTATAACTGAAAGTACATTGAAAACAGGTTCAACAATCAGTATACGTTTAGTTATACTGCAACACCTACAAACAAGTTAACAACCAGGAAACATAATCAATAATGTAATGCTCAACTTCTCATTAAAACAAAAACACTTTTGACTCATATATCTTTTTCAATATACAACTAAACAAAGCTTTATACTAATCTACAATTAATCAAAGCTTTATACTAATAAATATTTACCTGGTCCAAAACTGAATCCATATGCAGCAACATAGCACATCAAGGCAGTAAACCCTGCTATTCTCTGAATTAAAGATGAATGACTTGAATTGTCTCCCTTTACTGAACCACCACTGTTTGAGTTATTTATTGCAACTTTATCCAATAAATCTGTACTGGAATTATTTTGAGTATTTTGATACAATGAAGGCACAACCGTTGATATGTTGGAATATGAAACAAAACCATTGTCTAAAGTTTCATTTACAAAATCTCTTTTGCTCATAGATTTTAAAGTTGATAATATATTCTGTGAATTAGAGAGATCAGGTATACTGGTAGCAAAAGCATGAGTATGTTCAGTTAAACTGTGACAATGACTGTGATCTACGCAGGCTTTGTTAGGTATTGACGCGCTCTCAAAGTGGCACACAATTCCCAGGATGAATATACCAACTCCCATTATTGTGGAACCCGTTAGAAGTAGTTTACGTCTACCAAACTTGTCCACACAGATCAGTGCAATTATTGTCATAATCACCTGAAAATAAACCAAAAATGCTTTTTCATAAAGAATTCATTATATAAAATAATGGGTCACAGTCAACTTGGCAATTTTAAGAAGAACACCACATGCAGTGTTAACACTTGTATGTTAAAAATTCTAAGTTAAAATCAACTTCTGACTTCAAAATATTGCTTTCAGAATTATACCCCTTGTCTCATCATGATACATATACATGTATATATATTCCAAGTTTTATGTTGATAACATTAAATTGTTTGAAAAATGAAGAAAGGTTTATGAATGTGACATGCTTAAATGTATATATATAAAATGTAAGAACCAACTAGCCTAACCTAATGGGCCTATAAATCACGATCTTGTCATCTATGTCATAGTATAATTATATATTTTCTGCATTATCAATATTACCTTTACGATTCCAAGACCAACAGTAGCAAGAGTGGCTGCTGAGTTGGAGTGAAAACCGATCTCCTCAAATATTGTTGGTGCATAATACAAAACATTTGGCTGTCCTGTAAACTAGATAAAATATTTATTTGTTAACATAAAACCATAGCATTTCTGTTGTTCCTATTTTGGTTTATAATTGGTATAAATAACTAAGTTTTCGGAAATACGTGCGGCCATTCAGAAGTCACATATCTCAACCGAAACAGGGACACTGCTAATTTCCTTGTGCAACAAACTTTCCCTGCATGCTTTCCTTAGGGCTACCATAAGCTGGGTGAATGACTCTCAATGAAGATCAATGGGCTGGATATTAATAACTTAGGGAAAAGCTGTAAAATGGGTGAAAATATCTATGACGTGAAACTTCAAGGTATGAAAATGTATTCATATTTTATAAAAGTATAAATCTGAGATATTTAAGAGTATCATGATAAGATAATGATTAATTGTAAAATCTTCTAAATGTAAAATTTGATGTCTGAAATGAATGAACAACATGAAACATATTTATTTTAAACTTTATCCCTAACTTGCTAAATTTGTGTAAAGAATTAGCCTTGCAGGAAATGGGAACAGTCAATTTCAAAATAAAGGGGTTTCAATATCAGAATAGAGACATTGATTTACCAGGTCAGACTGTATGGAAGAGCAGACAGGCATGACCCTTTAATGGTGGTATGGGCTAATAACTTTCAGTTCTGGCAAATTAATGACTATGCTGGGACACACACACACATCACAATAACAAAATAAAACAAGAGTTATCTGTAACACAGGACAAATGACAACTCTCAAGACAAGTAGCATTACTCTGTAAAATGGAAAAGAGTTACTGAACCTATGCCTGTCATGTTAGATAATTGCAGTGTGTGTAATTTAAACCCATTCCATTCAGTAGTTTTTGGAGATACCAACTTGCAAGCAAAAACCTAACCAAAGTGCAAAGGCAAAACAAGATTAGTACAGTAACTTCCCCTATTTGTTGAATAGTTGAGCTAAAGAAAACTCTGGAAAACTAAATAAAACATTTACATTAATGTAGAAATCATAATTTGTGGAAGAACTACATATATCTAATTTCCTCTAGTTTTTAACCAAGTATATAATTGAACAATACAGACAATAAATATATTACCACCTCATCATAATTGTTGTAACCTACCTGTTGAAAAAAGACAAGTCCTACACCTATAAACATTCTACCTCTCATACCATCCTCGGACCCACAAACATCTGTACAGCTCTTGTTCTATACAAATTATAATATTTTCATTGATATAAAGCTGTATTTATAATTTCATAAAAAAAAAAGCAATACTGAGTCATAAGTAATAAAGAAGGCAACAAATAGATTAGAATGAAGTGAGGTTTAAGTAAAAATACTAGATTTTTTGTGTTAAGCTGGTAATCCAAAAATCATTTTGAACTTAACGTAAGCTGAGACTAGTAATCTACTTTGCCTGAGCTCAATATTTCACCGTCTTGTTCATTTGTGGCCCTTGTAACTTTATCCATTACCTCAACACATTTACAAATATAAGTATGGCAGAAGTAATTACAAACAAACATACAATTTTATAAAGCTACACAAATAAATGTTTAGGCTATCATTTATTTTGTTGCCCTATTTTATACCATGATATCATAAACCATTTGCTACTGACAATTTTAATAATTAGCAATTATCAAAGAAGTATCATTATAAAAATAAAATGGTTGACATTACATGATATTATAAGTTAATTCAAGTAACAAAAAATAACTACTATTTTTTACATATAAAATCACCGACGAGAAATACCTTTTCAGATGCTATTGATACTCTTATATCATTAATTTCACTCTCAATTTTGTTTGTTCCTCTTAATTTCTTCAGCACATTTACAGCATCATTCTCTCTCTTCTTCAACATGAGAAACCGTGGACTCATAGGCAGGAAGAACATTCCTATACCCTGAACTACAGCTGGTATTGCTGATAGACCAAACATCCATCTCCTGAAATATACAGGTGATATCTTCATTCATTTTCATTAAGGAAAGGCAAAAAAATATTTGTCATATTTTGTAACAAAGTAAGCTATCCTGCTAACTTATGGAAGGTCTGTGGCTCTGCTCAGGTGTGTGCTTATGCCTGAAATAATGCACAGAACGGGTGCCTGATGTATTTCTCTACTAGGAATGCTGGAAAGTTGACATATCACTTTAACAGTGTAGGTGTACCCAACAAACCTATGAAAGTAACACAACAATTGGAACCGTGATTTTTCATCAATTGCATAATAAGCTATAGTCTGTCCCATTAAAAATGGAAATGCACTTTTGCCTCATGTGAATTAACAAAACGAGGTTAAATAAAAATTAAACTATTTTGGTAAACTAAAAAAAAGTCACCCTCGAGATTTTTCAGGATTTTTCTCTAAAGTGTCTACTTTTCTTGTGAAAGCAAATTTTGATTTCTCTATGGCAAATCTCTGTTGTTTATTTTCCGTAGCCATTGCCGAAGTACTCTTCATTTGAAGATGAACGGGAGAAAGCATGTGTTATGTTTCTAAAATATACATGAGGTTCTCGGGGTCGTTTCATGATTATTTTACAAAGCTGGATCTACAAGATGTAACAGTTTAGTTGCAATGCATGATGGAAAACTTTAAAAAAAAAATTAAAATTAGCAACACAAAAACACCGAGTCACACGGAGTAGGAAAAGAAATTGCACTTACTTTTAAGCTGAATAGAATCCCTATGAATTTCGAAATACATCTTTATATGAACGTCACGACAAATTCGCATTCTGAAGATTCCTTCATTGCAAGTTTCTATCCAGTTCCGTAGCTTTAAAACTCCTGAATGACATGACTCCTACACTTATGATGATCCAGATTTTTTAAACTGTTAACAATCCGTCTCTTTATTAAAACATTGTTAAATTTGTGGAGTTATCTGGGTTAGCAAATGAAATATGTAAATGAAACACATCATAATTCAGCATGTTCCAAATCCATAATTCAAGAACGGCCCATCAATTTTAGTTGTTAACATCACAATGTTTAACTCTTGAAAATGGATTTCTGACGAAAAAACTTTATTACCTCAACAACAATTTACGAAATATATGACGTAACAAAAATGCCTCTCGCTTCCAGTTGTGGCATTAACAGAGGGCGGTTAGGCCAATGTAACCTCAAACAAATAATTTCAAGCGTTGAGATAAATATGCCTTAATTGCATTTTAAATAATTTTTGTAGACCCAAATTTTGCATCTTAACTGTAAAAATTACACCTTCAATTCATATATTAATAATAAAACTTTCGATAACATTTAAATATTTTTAAACTCACTTAATGACATGAATCTATAACAGTACAATACTTCTTCCATTAATTACATATATATACACATTCGTTTTGATTTTATGTTTTTAAACTATTTTATATATTTCTCAGAAATGATTTCCCTACATATTATCCCTTATTATTAAAGACTTCTGTTAATCCTACTCTTTAAGTTACAAAATATACAATACGCGTTTTTTTTCCTGCCACGAAAAATATGCTAGATCAATTGTTTTTTCACTGAATCTTTTCAAATTTTAGGAAGGTTAAAATTATTGAGGTTCTCTTTGACTCCATCTCCCCTTCATATTAACATAATAATTATATGTAACACTTTGAGTCTACAATAAAAACCGCACTTATTGTCACTTATTGAACACTCCAATACAAACTTATTTTTAATAATAACACACGTTATCAAATCACTGCCGGTATTTCTGGACATTTTGTTGAATTATGAGACGGAAAGATAAATCTGTATTTACGAGCTTAAAGTGTACAGTATAGGCCTACGTTTGATTGCTCAAACTAGAAAGCGTGATATTATATTCTTATACATGTAATTTACAATTTCCTCGGACGCGAGTCTTTGTTCACTCGTTAGCGAGGGGGTAAGTTAAAGTAGACACTGTGGTAACAAGCAAACCAATGCTGAACGTATAGTGAATCAGTTCTCTTTTCTATATATTTCTTGTCAGATTTGCATGATAATGTATTATTTGTTGGCGATTTCTTGTGAAGGAAAGGTTTAGCACACAAACATCGCACCCGAAATAAGAAGGGTAACATATTTTTGTATCTCATCGTACCTGGTCAATTCTAATTATTTTTGAATAGACGTGACACATATTAATGGACATAATTCAGACAACTACAGAATTATGTAAATTAAACATTAATTAGCGAATAACCATTTTATAGTCTTCTAGCTAGTGTTCCCGCTCCCCTTCGACGCGTTGCGGTATTCAAGATACGCGCTTGATTGAAAAGCTATCTAATCAAATCACTTCATTGTTCTTTTTCTCTTAAAAAGAATATAAAAATACGACAGTATATCATGGTAATTATAGAAATATTTGTGTGTTAGAATTAATAAAGCAGTTATTGATATTTTCACTTCAAATGATTTTGATTATTTTAAATAATGGTTTGCTAGTAAAATTGTCTTTTTTGACACCAACTTTGTTTTCATTTTTCATTTTAATGAGAACATTTAGCTATTGCGAGCTAGTAATTTAGAATAATCATTTTTTGTATAATTACCGAGTACATTTCACGCTAATTGTGAGACGAACCCTAAATGACGTCTATATGGGCGCCGCCATTTTGAAATGGACGTCACGTCAGGTTACAACGTAAGTCAACGGGGAAAAATATAATTTTAACATTTCGACCATATTAATGACTTTATGAAAAAAATGAAAAACATGCCTAGAGATATTGACGTCAGGGTTAACATGACATTAATTTACATGATTTTACTATTATATTAAATAAAAAATGGAATGTTCAAATTTGATGGGACAGACTATAGTTTTCAAAACATGTAATTTTTGAAGTACATGTATCAGTATTGGTGATTTTTAAAACTCAAAATAAACTTAACCTGTTTATAGATAAATGTTGAATATAAATGCATTTCAGGGTACACTCCTTCATTTCAAATGCTCACAAAGATGATTTAACCTGATGAAAGAATTCATTCACAAATATTTTTATTCCCAAATTTACTTAAAGTTATATTATGCCCATCCATGCATAAAAAGAGTGTGCAAGTAAAATAAAAATAACTTCGATTTTTGTCCTAAATGTTTAAGATACTATGTTATACTTCATTACATAAACAATAGCCTATGTGACACACTGAATTTTCTATAAATATCCTTCCAAATTTATCATGTAACATTCAAGTGTGGGGCAATCTTTTTATATTTAACACAGCTTTTATATTTATCCTAAAAGTTTTTAAATATTGGTCAATTACCATGAAATATATAGCTAATTCAGCTCAATTTGTCAAAAAAAGCATGATGTCACTTTAACCTTTTCCCTTATATAAGCGTGTTTCGACGGCTTTTAGCCCCCCCCCCCCCCCCCCTTTTTTGAGGCCTCAAACAGTGAAAAAAGGCCCCATTTATGCCCCAAAACACTGTTTAACGTTTGAGAAATGTTGTTAAAAAGTGACCACTTTATCGGCCTCATCCCCCATCCAAATGTTACATCAGGGGGTTGCCAGAAGGGGGATGTGCCCCTTCTGTTTGGCAGTTGAAGGGGGACGGCAGTCCCACTCATCTCCAAGAAAATTTTGGACATGTGACAGGCTTAAAATAGCCTCAGGTCGATCTTAGGGTAACTAGTAACCGACGCTGAAAAGCCTTTTACTCTATCTCAATTCATTGAGAAGTTGCAGGACTTTGAAATCAGTTTTGATGGAAAAAAACAATGCAAAATAGTGATTTTTGGCATTTTTGAGACATCCCCCCATTGCCATAGTAACAGGAAATTTACAATTGAGCATGCTGTTACAGAGGTCATGGCCTAGTCAACATTTGTGCCTAGTTTGATCAGCATTGAAGCATTTTTCATAGTTTCATAGCAGTTTGAACTTGTTACAGGAGGCTTTTCAATGAAAATTTTTCGCAATATGCTCATGGGGTAAAAGGTTAATGTAGATCAAGTACATATTTCATTATATTTTTATTTCTGGTTAAACATTAACTAAGCACAACATATACTAACCATCCATCTGTTACACTTATAAACAGGAAGTTACATAAGTAAGCCAACAGTAGACCTAGTGTGATCCCAAGCTCATTCAGTGAAACTAGCAATCCTCGTCTTTTCTGGAAATAAACAGCTTAGTTTTGTTTATAGTTTTCTTTACTCAATACAATACATAATATTAATATTACACCTACAATATATGAAATGATGTTTACACACTGCAAAAGCCGTTTCTAACTGTAGTTCAGTAACATGAACTCATGCCATCTCTAGATATGCAACTTACACAATGCAATAATCATTTCTTATTTCTTGTTATTAATTACGTGTCAGCTATTTTGATATATATTTATCAAAATACAGAAAAAGTCATACCTGACATGTAGATTACATACTGAGTACAATTTGTGATATGATAGAACTAATATGTTTACTGAAAAAGCAATGTAAATGTAGTATGTACAATTATTAAAATAAAGCCCAAGTTTTTACTGATATGTAGTTTACAACATGTTCGAACTTATTTCTGATATATATATATCACTAACAAACTGAGGAAGAAATAAAGATACATAATTATAGACATACAGCAGGAGCAATTTCAGATATGTAAATACATTCTCCAGTGGCTGACACTGACACTGCAAACCCTACCATCAATCTTCCAACTACCTAAAATAGAAATTATAATTTACAATCCAGCCTCCTAACTTTAATATGCATTTATTAATCTTAATTAATTTTATTAAGACTCTAAGAATGACTTTACTAAAGATACTGGCATTTATAGAATAACAATCCCATATAATTCATCTATTTATTACACAACTTGAACATTATCTACATTTTATTTAAAGTTTTCAACAGAGGATGCAAGTCATGGTGTTAATTTTAAGATGGTTTCATATTTATTTCAAAAACATTCAAGAAATAGAAAAGTTTATTTGCTAATTGCCTTGAGAAGATATTAACTGTTATATTTCACTTGACATTAGAAAAGATACAGAACTTTTCTTTTTTGTTATAAAAACTATTAAAATGTTGATTCATCAATCAATGGTGAGGTTTTTTTTTAAGATATTTGTGAAAGTAATATTTACTAGGAAATGACATGATCTAAAAAATCTCACCAGTATGGCAAAACTTGGAGAGAAGCCAAGGATTAGAGCCCCTATGAGGAACACTACAGAGTTAGCTATAATAGTGAGTCTTCTACCACAGTGATCTATCAGGAACCCTACAACACATACACAATCACAATCATTATCAACACATGAGCCGCGTCATGTCAAAACCAACATAATGGGTTTGCGACCAGCATGGATCCAGACCAGCCTGCACACCCGTGCACTCTGATCAGGATCCATGTTGTTCGCTACCAGTTTCTCTACTTGTAATAGGGTTGGAAAGCGAAAAGCATGGATCCCGATCAGACTGCAAGGATGCTGGTCGCAAACTCATTATGTTGGTTTTGTCGTGACGCGGCTCATATATATATTTTATCATATAACAGTAGAAAGTTAATAAACTATCAATCAATCAACAATAAAAGATACTGCCCTGGTATTATCATATATTAATTAAAATATTTTCTAAACAAATTTTATGAATAAGCTAGGAAGTACAAATCAATAGTTTGCAAATAGTTTATCGAAATCTTGTCACAAAAAAAAAACATGTAGCACAATTATTATATCTCAACAATTCTTGTCAAGCTAAACAACATGAATTTGTTTACAGTTTCAATTATCCATGTGAAATGTTCATCAAATAACTGATGTCTAACTACATAAAGACATAATATATATTTCATCTAAATCTTATATTTTCTCTCTTTCTCAGTATTTTAAGATATTTTTGAAAAAGAATGCATGAGTGAAACAGATATTTTTGAAAAAGAATGCATGAGTGAAACAGAACAAACAGTTTTGGACAAACTCTTTCACCAAGCTATCATCAAAATATAGATCTTCCATTCAGAATCATATGCTTTAATACCAATTAAATAAGTTTGGTATATTAAAAAGAAAAGAAGACCAATTATTAAACCTATCATAATGGAAATATAGGTTAACACTATCAACATACACAAATATTACCTCCAATTAAAGATCCTAGTACAGCCCCCATTAGCATAGCACTAATAACTAACTCTTGGTCAAGACATGACAAGCAAAAAACATCTCGAAGCTGTAAAATGGCTCCTGATATAATTCCTGAAAAAAAAATGAATTAAAAATACATTTTTGACAACATTTTCAATTTAGATAAGAAAACCTTGCAACAGTTTGACTAAATACAAACAGAAATGTTTAGTAAATAATAATTAAGCATTTGAAAATATCTGACATACCCTAAATTCAGTAATAAGTCACAGCTTATTTTAATTTTTGGTAAGAGATTGGTTATTTTTGAAAACAGCTTATTTTCAAGGTCACCATATTTTCAGGACAGGCTTATAAGTTATCATCATGTTTCTAGATTATTAAAAAAATAATGTAAAGTGAAATTTTTCAGTATTACAATTATTTACCCATGTCATATCCAAACAGTACTCCGCCCAATGAAGCCATGACAGATGCTGAGATGACATAGAAACATGCCCATACTTTTGAAGGTGGGGCTTCTCCTGGTGTTGTTGGCACTTCTCCACTTTCTACATGCTGTTCAGACAATTCCATCTGGAATTCCCCAGCGCCATCATCAGAATCTTGATTGCCATGGCGACTGATTAGCGTCTCTGGAAAAAAAATACTTTTATGACAAATTATAGCAAACCTACTTCAGTTTTCAAGTTGTCCTTCAATTTACCTAGCAAAAGTCACATTGCTTACTTGAGGTGATAAAATCTGTACAAATAATGCATAAAACATGAAAAAAAGAACAAAACTCAATAATAAATTTTATGCCCACACAGGCAGACAACATTATCTTCAATGTGGAAATTATTGTTATTTGTGTTTGTGTCTGTTTTTCACTATATATAGGTTAAAGTTTAATCTGAATTAATGAAATTTATTTGCATTAATATAATAAACAATATAACAGAGACAAAACTGAAAATCAAATTGTATAAGCTACTTTCATCATTACATGTTGTTTTTTTGTATTATTACTTTTTATTTATGCTCGACAGAATTTAATATCAATCAGTGAGAATCAAACCTTGGTATCTCTCTCCCGATAGCTGCTAAAATTTTTGGCATTAAGTTCTTGTTGGTAGTTTACTCCTTTTTATGTCTAAAACATCTTTCCATAAGGTTAATTTTCCTATTTGGTCAAAGCAGGAACATACATGTATATTTACCTTTCTTGTCATAGTACTGACTTTATTCAAGTTTCAAGTTTTTATTGATAACATTTATTTTTATAAAAAAAATTATTTGACTTTACAGTAATATATATTAAAACTTTGGCTATTCAGTTTGTTTTGAAACTGATCAGAACTTTTGTGTTTAATCTTAAATAATTTGATAGTTACTATCATCAGAATATCCTTCCTATTTGATTTGATAATCAATAGTGATCGATCAATCAATCAATCAATCAATCAATCAATCAGGCTGACTGTCTAACAATAGTGTGAAGGTATTCATTTATTTGAGAGGAGGGGGTGTACATGTCAGTCAGTGCTAATCATAAAGGGGCAAATGTATGCACACTGACTGCCTGTATAACTTCAAACTGGACAGGTCCCCAACACTAGGGCAAAACTTCAGTAATAGGCAAATCTGGTAAGCAGTCCTTATCTCCTTATTTACAGAGACGTTAAATATTTGTTTGACTGATTCAACTACAACATTTATATTACTCCAATAATTCTATATAATCATGCAAAAAAGAAACCAAACAAGATACAATTTCATGCTCTATTTTGCAATTTCAATCTAACAATGTTAAGAGTGATGGATTGATCAAAATGTTTTTGGCCCGAATAACTTCTGGTAGTCAGAGAACCCAACCAATGGTCTTACTTTTCAATATAATCGCCCTCTACATCAATACACTTTGCCAACCTGTGCTCCAACTTGTTTAACCCTTCAAAATAGAACTCTCTATTTTGGTTGTCAAGAACTCATTGACACCTCCATAACACCTTCATTGCTTCAATAATGTTTAACATGAAGCTTGGTTTTCAGTTTCGAAAACAGGTTGAAGTCAGAGGGGGCCAAGTCCGGGGAACAAGGGGTATGGGGAAGAATTTCAAAGCCGCAGTCAGTTTAACCAGCCATCGCAACTTGGGATGTGTGAGCTGGCGCATTGTCATGCAGGAGCAGAACGCCTTGAGTCAGTTTGCCCCTCCTTTATACGTGATCTCCTGACGCAGACGTCTCAATTCGTTTGCATAGTATGTACTGTTTATAGTACAACCTTGCTCAAGTAAGTCAATCATGATTATCCCCCCAACTATCCAAAAGAATTGAAGCCATCATTTTCCCAACTGATGGCACCCTCTTGAATTCCTTCATAGGGGGTGAGCCAGGGTACTTCCACTGCATGCTCTGTTTTTTGGATTCTGGATCAAAGTGATGGACCCATGTTTCATCCCGAGATACGATCCAGTATATAAAATCAGGTAATCCTCATAGCGAGACAAAAGATATCTTGAAATGTCAAGCCTGGTCCGTTTCTGGTCATCAGTCAACTGTCTGGGGACCAATCTAATGGAAACCTTTGACATGTCATAGACATCAGTCAGAAATGCCTTAACTGAACCAAAGCTAATACCCACTAGCAATGCTTCGCAGGTCTCGCCTTCTGTCGCACATGACCAGATCGTGCACAGCTTCGTTGGTGGCCTCTTTTGGCAGCCCAACTTTGTCTAAATGACACACCCCTCTACTGATCAAAGTTTGTTTTATGTTACTTAATCTGTGTAAAACCATGTGTAACACAGTCGGTGATCTTCAATAAGATATCCGTATCGTGTGTAAATGTCAGTGTGGTGGCTAGAGTATATCAGGTCGAGAACTTTTTGATCATACCTTGTATAATCCGAATAATGTATAATTATGGTGTAATATATTGCTACAGTAGTTTCCCTAAGATATCACATGACAATCAGTTAGATCATTTTACGACTGTTACCTGTAATAAAACATTATCAGATACTGTTCATTTGTATCTATTTTCAATAAATTATAATGGTTTTTCAACAAAAATTAGTTTCCATATACATGTATAGAAATTGTATGTAAAACAGATTTAAAAAAACTGAGGAGAAGCCTTTTAAGATTACTTAACAAGTCTATATTAATTAAGTGACCTCCATGGCAGGACCAATTTTATATCATGTTAAACACTATTTTTAGCTTGTGTGACTTTTGCATCAGACTGGAATCATTTATATAACTTTTGTACAGGACCATCTAAGGATCATTCCTGTGAAGTTTGCTCAAAATCTATTTTAGTGGTTTAGGAGGAGATAATGTTTAAAATTGTGGATAACTACGGACGACAAATGATGACACTTGGCCATCATAATAAGCTCACCTTTGAGTCTTTTTACTCAGATGAGCTTAAAAAGAGCCATTACTTGGCATAAGATAATTTTAGAATTATCTGCCATTAGGAATTGGCATGATATTATGACAATAAACAAGTATACCAATGAGGTAAATACTTTTTATAGTTTCTGAAAAAATGGATCTAAACAAAAAGGTAAACCAACACTGATACCAATCCGGACAAGATGGTAATGACAAAATATCCACTGTCTTTTTTTTAGCAAATATAGTATAAAACTAGAACTGCCACTATCATGGCGTGAATACCCCCGCATACCACTTTGTCAGAATCAACAGTGGCCATTTAGAGCTCAAGGACAACCTCCCTGCCAAATCTGAGGTTACTAAGCCAGTGCATTGCTAAGTTATGTATTCTACATGCTTTAAATGTGAAAATGTCAAAATCAATACATTGCGGACAGGACATTCTATAGCAATTGAGAAGAAAAGCTTTTTTTTTGTCAAGGTCCCTGTGACCTTGACCTTTGACCCAGTGACCCCAAAATCAATAGGGATCATCTTATAGTCATGATCAACATCTATGCCAAATTAAAGACTGTGGGTCAAAGGATTCTTAAGTTAATGGGTGGACAAACTTTTTGAAGTCAAAGTCCCTATGACCTTGACCTTTGATCCAGTGACCTCAAAATCAAAAGGGGTCATCTACTAATCATGATCAACATCCATGCCAAATATGAAGACTGTGGGTCAAAGGAATCTAAGTTATTGGGCAGACAAACTTTTTGAAGTCAAAGTCCCTGTGACCTTTGACCTGGTGACCTCAAAATCAATAGGGGTCATCTACTAATCATGACTTACCTCCATTCCAAATATGAAGACTGTGGGTCAAAGGAATCTTAAGTTATTGGGCGGACAAGCTTTTTGAAGTCAAGGCCCCTGTGACCTTGACCTTTGACCTGGTGACCTTAAAATCAATAGGGGTCATCTACTAATCATGACTAACCTCCATGCCAAATATGAAGACTGTGGGTCAAAGGAATCTTAAGTAATAGGGCGGAAAAGCTTTTTCAAGTCAAGGCCCCTGTGACCTTAACCTTTGACCTGGTGACCTCAAAGTCAATAGGGGTCATCTACTTATCATGACTAACCTCCATGCCAAATATGAAGACTGTGGGTCAAAGGAATCTTAAGTTATTGGGCGGACAAGCTTTTTGAAGTCAGGGCCCCTGTGACCTTGACCTTTGACCTGGTGACCTCAAAATCGATAGGGGTCATCTACCAATCATGACTAACCTCCATGCCAAATATGAAGACTGTGGGTCAAAGGAATCTTAAGTTATTGGGCCGACAAGCTTTTTGAAGTCAAGGCCCCTGTGACCTTGACCTTTGACCTGGTGACCTCAAAATCAATAGGGGTCATCTACTAATCATGACTAACCTCCATGCCAAATATGAAGACTGTAGGTCAAAGGAATCTTAAGTTTTGGGCGGACAAGCTTTTTGAAGTCAAGGCCCCTGTGACCTTGACCTTTGACCTGGTGACCTCAAAATCAATAGGGGTCATCTACTAATCATGACTAACCTCCATGCCAAATATGAAGACTGTAGGTCAAAGGATTCTTAAGTTATTGGGCGGACAAGCTTTTTGAAGTCAAGGCCCCTGTGACCTTGACCTTTAACCTGGTGACCTCAAAATCAATAGGGGTCATCTACTAATCATGACTAACCTCCATGCCAAATATGACGACTGTAGGTCAAAGGAATATTAAGTTATTGGGCGGACAAGCTTTTTGAAGTCAAGGCCCCTGTGACCTTGACCTTTGACCTGGTGACCTCAAAATCAATAGGGGTCATCTACTAATCATGACTAACCTCCATGCCAAATATGAAGACTAAGGGTCAAAGGAATCATAAGTTATTGGGCGGACAAGAAAAAACCGACGGACGGCCGGACGGACAAGCTGATTCCAGTATACCCCTTTACAACTTTGTTGTGCGGGGGTATAAAAACAGAAATGGCAATAACTCCAAAATTTTGCAAAAGAGAGTTATGATTCTGAAGCACAGCACACTATTTAGATGAAATCAAAATTTAAAACAGAAAAAGTTTAAGTTGCATTAAAAAAACAGAAATAGTTTAGGTTTCATGTAATAATCATTCTATCTTTAGATAAGACCCTGTTTATGGCTTTTCATAGACAACCATAAATCATGTCATTATCTTAACTGACAAATTATTAAATTCATGAAACCAATTATTTTAATATTTTAATGTACTGAAGTAATTAAATTGATGTACAACTGCACAGAAATATTCATGTACAGAGACGACAGAAAGCTACAATTTAAAAACAAGACACTTACGCTTTTCTTGCATTCTAATTGTTTCAGTGTTCATATAAAATTCTTCCTCACTTGAACTTATATGATCTTCATGTTTTTCAAATATATTATTTATTAATGGAATCCACATGTTTATTTTCTGTTTTCTTCTTCAAATATAGCAAGTTTAAAAAAGTTCACTTCCCTGTGTAATGTTTTATCAATTTCTATCTGTTTGTTTAAAAATTAAACTTAACAAATCACTAAAGGTTTTTATCGTGAGAGATTTAACGTTATCATTTAAAAGCTGTAAAAATTCTCTTCCTGGGGGTATTTACCCTCATTTTATACTGTTCTATAAGTTTTCACCAATAGATCCTGTTTTGTAAGGATATAAAGACAGGGTATATATCTACAACAGCTGTATTTATACACTCAATAAAAGGTCATATATCTTATTAATATCATACAAATATCTTATTATCATACACAATTCATTATCAATATTAGACAATTAAAGCCACCCTACATGTAGGAAAATACATTTCCAGGTGGTATAAGATAATTTACTTCTATCTCTATACAGTAATGATAATGCTTTGATCCGATTGGTTTAATGTCTTATCATCCTGTTCAGACGGAATCCCACCATACACTTTCTATCTCTTAAATTGTGTTTATGTCATACTAGTCATCACTATAATGTATTCTATGCAGATACCCTATTGTAAGGATTTTACAGTGGCTGCCGGTACAAACCCGAATATCTAGCTTGAGAGTAACTGTCTACAGAATTAGCAAGGCTCTATCAAGTTTCCGCTAAACAGTTACCTGATAGATAGACTTGTCTGGGTTCAATTTTTGGAACTGTCCATTATAAATTTTAGGGAAAGCAGAATGCAAATTTATAACTTGTAAGCCACCAGTTTAGAGCCTGAATTAACAGGCTTGCTATGTAACTGGTGAGTTTATAACAAAGAGATAGACTGCTGTTATAACCAGTGGTGGAGATCACACATTAGCTACTGTTTCAGAAAATGTAATTTTAAAGAGTATGCCTAAAAAATGACTAGTATTGATGAATAATGCGGTAAATTGTTAACTGAATCATAATACTAAATGTATGTTAGTTATTTTTTCTTGCATATTCTGCCATATTCCATCATATTTTTAATTTTATACCTCAATGAAACAATTATCCATGGAAATTTTATGTCAATTTACCTGTAACTATTTTCTAACAACTGTGTATGAATTTACAACTTCATTTATAATTGCAAAATAACGTCACTTAAGCATGCAGTTTCATTCTTAAATACACCAAAATGTTTTAATTTTAATGTTGTTCATTAATAAAATGCGCTAGAATGACCCCCATTTTATAGCACGCGACTCATCTGGCAACCCCCATGCCAGAAGATTTTCTCTGAGTATTTCCAACATGGATAAAACTAATAGAAACACCAGTCTGATATGTAAGAACACACTATTCATACTGCTAACAAATATAATATGTCACGTTTTTAAATAAATCTAAACATCTTTGAGTGTATGATTGGCCTGAGCTTTTATTCCCAATACAATGTACTGCTATATTGTCCATCCTAGTCAAAATCTCACCTAGACCTATACTTCATTCAATCAATAATCTGTATTAGCACAGTGATAAATAATGTACAACAAAAAGAAGTAAACAAACCTCCTTCCTTATACTGTTCCTCCATGTTTTCCAAACAGCTTTAACATCTGTCACTTGATGTATAGATAACTACTTCATTATATTCTAAAAACTGCACACTACATGTAGACTGTTTGCTTACAGCTTTATTTACACTTCATCATAGCAAATGAGCTACTTCATTGTCATCCAATCACAATTGAACCATATCTGAAAACAAATAACAGTAATTAGTATTAAGCAGGTGTTCTGGAATGGAAACTTTAATTATCATTATTTCATTAGAATTCTATAACCGTATTTGATGGAAGGTCACAAACAAATACCTAAATACAATATGAAATGCATGGCCTTGTCACTTTATAGCGATAAAAAATTAATTTCAAAGCAATCGTTTTTTTTTATCACTCAACATATGGTAGCATTCATATCATTCATAAAATTGATACTATTACTTGAAATAAGAGGGCCATAATCATTCACCTGTAATCTATTGCTAGTAAAGGTAAATAATTTTCAATGCAGGTTATTGTGTCCCTTAAGAGTGGGTGATTTTTTACCTTACGGCCAAGATTCAAGTAAGACAATGCTGTATGCTAAATATATTATATCTAATCTTTAGGTCATCTTGTTTCTCACAAAAAAGATTTAAAGTTGTTTATTTTTCTGTTAAAGTCTATGTAAGTTTCAATATGTAACCCTTTGACTGAGGCAAAGTGTTACCTCAGGGGCATGATTTTAATTTCTTTTGTAAAGGGCCAAACATTTATGCCTTGTGTAATGTAGTTTCCAATGATAATATTTCATTTTTAAATTTTCTATTTAAGTTTCTAATACTCGGTGCTTGAACTCCTACGTAAAACTCAGCTCTGTTTATATAAATTTTCTAAAGGGCCAGCTAAGTATGGTTTATTTCTGAGAAGTTTTTAAAAAAATCTAGCATGTGGTAATGAAGACAGTCATCATATCATCACAAAGTTAACCGGTGAGCACTATGTGCTCAGGAGAGCTAAACATATGCTTGGCTTAAATAAAATACTTAATTGAAATGAGTATTTCTTTTGGACTTTTCTTCATTAATCACAATGACTGAAATAGAATCAAATTACATGTATGAAGATGTGTCTAACAGTAAAAAAATCTATCAACCATCCCAACTCCAAAAGCCTGTCAGTAGTAACAAACAATAATCAAGGGTGGCCTTAAAAAAAAGTAAAAATGATCAGGTTCTCTACTATGACATGCTCTGTGTAATGACTTTTTGTCAGAGAATTGTAGATAACCTATTATGTCTCTGCTATTTGTAAACAAATTATTTTAGTTACAAAACTATTTTCATAGAAACTTTTATCAAGTTCTATTTAAGGATTTTACATTGTCAATTTCTAAATATTCATTTAACTTTAAAAGATAGAAAGATAAAATCTACAGCTGTGTAGCTTTTATCATAAACGGGTTGTTATATACCATATTCGAGCTATCACAACTATCTGCCTTTTTGCATAAGAAAATTGTTTATTTGAAATCAAGAATATTCATTCACATATGTCATGTACTAATAGGTAGCATAAAATTTAATTTCATTGCATTTAAGTTTTATAAATACACGTAGAGGTTATTGAATGAGTGTAAGTTCAATACTGAATTGCCTCTGAAAAGCATAATTTAATTTTATTCAACAAAATCAATAAATTCAGTTAATGAACTTACACTTATTTAATATTTTACTGATCACAATCACCCAAAATAAAGACAGTTGAAAGTGAAAAAAAGTCATTTTTCAATAACCTGCCTATAGAATAACACTAACATTTAACTCGTCTTTACACTATGTTTGTACAAAGCTAATGATGTCACTTCAGAATATTAGTATATGCACGGCTGTACAGTTCCATTTTTACAGAGTCGCAAAATCGGCAGGCGTGTGTGACAAACCTTAATTATCTTTAACTCACTGAATTTGTAGACCTTCCTTCATTTGAATTAACTATTGACAGCTATTGATTAAAGAGAATAGTACATTTGAAATTTAAAGCAGCTTGCCACCAGATTAATGCTTAATTTCATGATTTTTTAAAAACTTACTTAAAAGTAAAATATTGTGGAGTGCGGACAAGAAAGTTTTTTACACATTGCAAATGGCTCTAAAAATCCATGTAAATTACCAGATAGGGGTCAAAATGCAAAAATAGCCCTTACTACACAGTGTTAGTCATGCAGTAGAAATATGGTGATATATACTACATAATCAGTCATTATTTGCATATAAATGTAAATGTTATATGTAAATTTTTAGATGGATCTTTAATCTCTTTACTTTCTTAAAAGTTCATTTCTCTCAAATTTAATTTTCTTGAAAATGTTTGGCTCATCTGGAAGTATGTAGCTTTAATGGATTTGGATATTGCAATACATATATAGAACAACCAACAGTATAGAGGCTGGTTAGAATGTACAGATGTGCAGGCTAGCCTGGCTCACACTAAACTGATGACAAAGACTTGTCACAAAAATGGTTAATATGTGGAACAACAGAGTGTTAGAACACTTTAATAAGTACAAAAAATAATTAATGTGAATCAATTGAAACAAGCAATTATCATAGCATTGCAAGCAATCCATAAGTCCCCTACTGGTTAGAACCCCAGCAACATTCTGATGGTTCATTTGCCATTCAATTTTACCAGTGAATGAATGACATGAATGAACTTAAATCTTTTGAGTTCTAAGTTTGTCTATATCACAGTAATGTGTTAAGTTTCCATTCCTTGTAAGGAAATTATGTTTATACAACCTTGTCATATTATTACGATGTGGGATTTTAAAGTAAATCCTATAAGGAATGAAGAAGTTGGAGTGAAAATACCAGTACAAGGGGGACATAATTCTGGAAATAGTCTTGCTAGAGTATTTAACCTTCTCAAAAATGTTGAGTGATAATATTAAAGAAACATATATATGAAGTTTGAAGTAGATACATTAGGAAATAAAGAAGTTATTTATAAAAGACAACATTTTTTTCCCCTAAAAAATCTAAGTTTAAGGGAGGTAATACTGATAATTTTTGTGCTAGAGTTATAAACCTTGTCACATATGATGCGGTTGATGACCAGAAACTTATATTTAAAGTTTGAAGTAAATACCTTAAGAAATAAAGAACATATAGTGAAAAAGCTGAAAAATTTAAATTGGAAATCTTGAAATTCAGGCTATTTGTTGCAATAGCAACCAGAATTTTCAACATAAGAAGAAAAGAAAAAGACGTGCATAATCTCCATACTGCCATCTATCAATATATCAAGTTTCATAAAAATATTTTCAGTACTTTTTACGTTATTGCGGGATCCAGTTTTGTGGACAGACAGACTGACTGACAGACAGACGGACAGACAGACGGAGGGTAAACCTAAAGTCCCCTCCTGTTAAACCAGTAGGGGACTAATAATAAACAATCATATTCTTGTTATAAAATCAAAATACATACTTGTACTTGTATTCATATAATTAATGTTTATGATAATAAGTATTAAATAAGGTACATTAACCAATTTCCCCATGAGCATATTGTGAAAAATGGCCGTTTTATTGAAAAGCCTCCTGTTACAAGTTCAAACTGCTATGAAACTATGAGAAATGCTTCAATACTGATGAAACTTGGCACACATGTTGACAAGACCATAGCCTCTGTAACAGCATGCTCAATCTCAAATTTCCTGTTACCAATTGGCAATGGGGGGACGTCTCATAATTGCCAAAAATCACTATTTTGCATTGTTTTTCTCCATCGAAACTGATTTCAAAGTGCTGAAACTTCTTAATGAATTGAGATAGAGTAAAAGGCTTATCAGCCTTGGTTACTAGTTACCCTAAGATTAACCTGAGGCCATTTTTAGCCTGTTACATGTCCAAAATTTTCTTGGCCATGAGGGGGACTCCTGCCACCCTTTCAACCCTCCAAACAGAACGGGGCACATCCCCCTTCTGGCAACCCCCTGATGTATCATTTAAATAAACGAAAAACAGTGTTTGGGGCCTCAATAGGGCATTTTTTCACTGTTTGAGGCCTTAAAAGGGGGAGGGCAAAAAGCTGCAGAAACACACTTATTTAAGGGCAAAGGTTAATTGTAGCTCTGCTCTAGTTAAATATTTAACTCTCTTTCCCTTTGTAAAACAATACCTTTATTACTAGAACGTAAACAAACTGGTGAGCCTTTCTTTGGACCTCATTATTGATGACAAAATATTTGGATATTTTTTGCTTGAAGTACAACAGTACTGAATGAGGTGATCCTTGTATCTCTATTGACCTAACTCGGGTATTTCTATTGCCAGTTCAAAGTATGGTAACAAAAGTACCTTTAAAAGTATAATGATTCAGAAAAGTTTAACTGGAAGTTATGTCACTGAATATTGTGATATCGATATATTATTTTGATATTCAACAATCGATACAAAATAGTTTCAAAATTAAGAATATTATACAATTTAAAAGTTCAGTGAAAATATCTCTTGTGTAAAGAGATGAAGCCACTTTTCTCTAGTTTGATTACTGGATGAATTTTTTAGAGATCTGTAAGATACATAAAACCATAAAAATATACTTTCTTTTGGTATGCTGTGTTTGTATTTACATAAACCCAAGATAGAAATATATTACTCATATTCAAATAGTTTCCACTGTACAAGCTTTTTTAAAGGATATAAATTATATATGTATCAACATATCATTGATATTTGGTTTTTGATCTATTTGTCACGGTACTGAACTGTTCACTTATTAGGGGAGATAGTGTGCAAGAAGATGGATAGCTCAGTGCTTGTGGGTAGATCCGCAGCACGGTATTCCAAGGGTCCAGAATTTGAGTTCTTGTCAGGCTGCATATTTTCCCCACCTTGTGATATTTGGCACCCAGCACTGGGCTTTGATGGTATTATATTAAGCCTTGTGTCTCATTTCACATTGTTCTCTTTACCTATTAGAAAATCAAAGATGAATTTCAATATAGTCTGGGAGTATGTCACAGTATATAACATTCACTAATTAGGGAAGAAAGTGTGTAAGCTCAGTCAGTAGAGTTGTGTTATGGTACACCAAGTGTAACAGGTTCGAGTCCTGGTCAGGCTGCACATTTTTCTCACATATAATAATACAAAATTTCCCATCAATTACAGCCCTTATTAGAAGTACAGTATTTCCTTCAAGAGTTACGGTCGAAATAATTAAAATTTGAATGTTGTTTTTGGTTTCTTTTCAATTGCCACTGCAGCACCTGCGATGCGGTGGCAATTAAAGCAATTCACCAGGGTGTGTCACTGTGGCAGTGTGCACGTGTGCATGTGGGTGTACGGACATAATCCCCTTCGGACAAAATCCCCTTCATGTATTTTTGTATATCCGGACATAATCCCCTTCATGGGTGGACATAATCCCCTTCATGTGTGAAATTTTGAAGTGGACAAAATCCCCTTCATAAAATTGTTACCTAGGACAAAATCCCCCTCGGAGGAATTTTCGGTTTTTAAATTGGGTAGGAGAGGGACATACTGCATTATGCTGTGTAGTAAATATCTTAATGTATAAATAAAAAGCACATTCAATTAGCAACATTTAAATCACATTAAAATTGCTCTGTTAAAGCATTCATAACAATCAATCAAGTAGTGCAGTGATCTTGGTTTGATTAAATTATCACTCTTTCATCAATAGAAATTGTAACAATTGATAGTATATATCAATTAGAATTATCAACTTATACAATCAATGAAACAATTATTGGCTAATAAAAATGTTTTTTATACTAATCAATTTAAAACAATTAAAGAATTGCCTTATCAAATATGTGTTATGCAGTTGATAATTTACCATAATTTTAATGAAGACTTCTAAACTAAATAAAGGTTAACTATTGATACATAATTATAAATAAAAAAAACAATAATTCATTATTTATCAATTTTTAGGGAGTATAATAAAACATTATTCATCAATTTTAATGGAGCATAATAATACATTAGAAACCTATGAAACAAGGGGATTTTGTCCGGGTAGTGTAGGGGATTTTGTCCAGCCTTGCAAAAAAATGAAGGGGATTATGTCCACCCATGAAGGGGATTTTGTCCGGGTAGGTGAAGGGGATTTTGTCCGAAGGGGATTATGTCTGACATTCGTGCATGTGACCCACAAGGCCTAAAGCATAGATATTTTGCTTAAGACATTGTCTGGTAGATCTCAACCAAGACTGTTCAAAGTAGTAACCCTGGGGTCCAAATTGGCCCTGCCCCGGGGGTTATTGGTTTTTTTTTCTATACACATATAGGAAATACTTAGCTTTGATATTTGGTATCTAATATCATCTATATGAATTTGAGATTTTGGAAACAATTTGATGCCTGACTGATCCACAGGTAAAACAACAAAAGAGCGGATAAACGCTAACCTGTGGATGTTCTTTACACCTTTAGCGCTCATAAATGTCCTAATTATATTGTTTATAGTACTTGACTGTAAAATTGAACAAGCTTTATAGCGGATATGGTGGGCTATGAATCTAGATCTACATGAGTTTTTTTTTTTGGGGGGGGGGGGGGGGGGGGCCAAGGTCTAGGAGCCCTATAATGAGATTAGCGTTATGACGGAGAGAGATTTATCGAGGGTACAGTGTATATAGTAAAAACTTAAAAAAAACTCTTATATAATTGGACTGTTCAAATTATAGCCCTGGGGAAAAATATTGGCAACACAAATGTTTTCTGAATAGGAGAAAGCTACAGTATAGATATTCTATATAAAACATTGTCTGGTGAACCTGTATCAAGATTGTTTGACTTAAATCTTTGGGTAAAATTGGACTGTGTGAGCAGTTTGAGATGTAAAATTGAATTTTAATATCAGCTGACCTAAATTTTGACATGTAACCTAAGTAACCTTCTTGCCCTTTAAGCTATATTTGAACCATGTGTTCAGATAAAGATGTAAATTGAACTTTGATATCAGCTGACATAGATTTTGACAAAGTGCCTTACTGTCTTGCCCTTTATAGTGCAGTCATGAAATTTAGGCCATGTGAATTATATGTAAGACCATGACCACCAAATTCAGTATTAGATTCAACTACATTATGGCAAAGTTCAAGTTTACAGAAACAAAAAAAATCTTCTATTCCTATACACTACATGTACTTTATAATGTTGTATTAATGCAGTGGCATAGCAATTTTCACAAATGCAAGGTTATTTTCTTTTAAAATGAAATTAATTAAAATTGAAGTGGAGACTCTGAATTACAATCTGCACATTTTCAAAAAAATGGATTCTTAGTCAGAACAGATCATTTCCTAAAATTTGATTCTTGAATTAATAAGTTCATTTCTCCAAAGGTTTCTAAGATTTGTAAATACTTCTAGTTATTTGAGATTAAATGCCATGAAGGTGCCATGTGCATATTACTTGTAGTTTACTTGAAAACAACTAATATTTTGACTAAAAAAATCTACCCGTGGCCAGTAAACAATTGTTTAAGAACAATTTTTCAAAACTCTTTTATATGTAAACTTTTGGCTCTATAGGCTAACTATCAGTTACACTTAAAGCTAAAATTGAAGTCAAGTTATGGGAGCATTGATCATGATGATCAAAAACTTGCTGGACTCTTTTAATAATGTCATTGATAAAAGTAACAGCAACAAGATAACAAGACATTAAAATAACAGACTACCATTTAATAGATGTTCTTGTACTTCTTACACTGTGAGTAATACACTGACAAGGACTAGGAAGTCACATTTTAACACACTATTTTTAAATATATATACTATCTATTAATTTATGGCAGTAGCTAGCCTAGTTGTACTTTTGTCGTATTATTCTTTTCTTCCCCTTATGCCCAGCAGAGTGAAAAATACAAAGAGCTCGCCTCTGTCATATTTTATGATTTTGCCTTGTGCCCTGTGGAGCGAAAATATGACATGGCATGCATGAATTGGCCAAATTAAAAAGTGATTTAAAATGAAAACTTCAGTACAGGTGTACTGCTGGCTAGCCTAATTAATTCGGTGTAAACTGTTTGACCCATTTTACAGGTTTTTTTCTTACTGTAAAACCGTTACAAAAACTTAAATTTGGTCTAGTTTCAAATTGAATTTGGCGATATTTCATAACCAATGCAAGTAAAAAATCAAGTTTTATATGAAAAATATGGGTAATGCTTTCGTATGGGACCTAGATCTACTTGCATTCAAATATGACTGAAGTTGGTTTTACTTTGATGTTGTTTGACAGATCTAGAGATACTATAATCATGTTAGCTGAAATCTCTTTACCTAGCCAGAGTTTAAATAATAATATTATTTACGTCTCTGACAATCTTAAAGTTAAACACTGTTAAAAAATTTGATAGATCTCAAGTAAAGTTCAACTGTTCAACTTTTGGAAGACTGTTCTCCTGCTTCATTAATTGGCTAAACAATGATGCAAATGCCTGGAAGAAAATAAAATGCATAAGTTAAATAAACTGTCAAAAAGCTTTTTAATGTGCATAGCATACTTAGACTAGAGAGTGTTAAATTAAACTTTAAAGTTTTCACCTTTTAGTATTGGATTACATTTTTTACCTGTACACCGTTTAGGTAGGAAACTACTAAAATTACTGCCGGGAATTGTTAAAGTTGAACACAACTAAATATGTCATTTTTTTTTGAACAGTGTTCAAGTCTGCTACTGGGTACATGTAAACAAATAAGCCTTTTGACAAACATCATGATGTTATTATGATATAGAAAAAAAAGCTCAGTTTCTTAGATAATTTTGTTAAGTGGCTACAATCTTAATAAATATGGTATTTAAAGTTATGGGACATAGATCAGACACAACACAACTACATGTATAAATACCAATTCATGTTTTTCTTTATTAGCTTGTCAGTTGATACATAAAGGATATGACATAAACGTACCAAACAGATGTCAATGTTAATGAACGCCACATTTGGCACATAAAAGAAAAACGTTATAATATTAAAATGATATAAAACATCTGATATTGTTTAGATGTGTTTAATAAGCATGGTAGGCCTAAATATAGAAATTGATGTCACACATCTTTGATGAATGATGTTCCATAGCAACAACTGACTTCATCAAACATGAAAGACCACTTTGTATAATTTTACAATAAAACATGCTGTTTTTACTCTTTTAGCTTAACGAGTTCAACTGTTATGCATCTGTTGGTTTAATTATTCTAACCACAGTGTATTCATTGTGAAAGTCTTTTAGTCTTCAATTAATTCAAGTTAGACAGACAACTTCTGGTGCCTCTCTATTCACTATTTTAGGCATGAGTGGCCCCTGAGTAGAACCAACTTTCTGTAACCTAGCTGGACAGCTTCCATTATGTAAAAAATCCTAAGTCCCTGGTGAGAGGTTAAGTCCCTCTGCTATAGAGGAAGAATTTCTTGATGTTATAAAACTTTCTTAAGTATGAGACTTTAAAAAGGGACTTTTCACTATCAAAATAAATGAGAATTCACATTATAACTGTGTGAGTTTTGATCACTCTAAACTTGAGTTATAATGTTCTTTAAACTAAGAAGTACAGTAATCAACAAAACTACATAATTTCATGACAAACACTTTTTTTCATCATCAAGGATTTTTATTATGTAAGATTTTTTCAACAGTAAAATTAAACATCTCTTGATTGATGGCTTTAACTTGCTGCAGCTCTTCCTTCAAGTTTGAAATTTTGCTATCCTGAAAAAATCAATCACATACTTCATAATGAAACGGTCATGAGAAAATAATATGGCATGGAGACAATCTGGATTGGGAAAAAATGGATAAAATATCTAATCATTTAATTTAAATTTGATTGCAAAATACATGTAAATGCTTTTTATTTCATACAGGTATAAACTGTTACTTATTTATTCCATAAAAATATGAAACAAGAACCTATGTTTGATAAACATATATGCTCTGGCACTGATTTTTGTCAGTATAGCCATTTTGCCAAAGGTTTTATCTACTTACTCAGTCAATAAATAGAAGCTGATTCAGCTACATGTACATTGTAAAAATCTATTCATAATACCAATGACCTCAATTTTGAACCAAATGACCATAAACTGCAACCTTAGTCAGAGGCCTTCATAAGGTGAGTTTCTACCAAACAAGAAAGACATCTTTTGATTCATAGATCCCTGACCTGTCTAATCTTAATTATCAGATTAGTGGATACAATAAGCTTTCACCCCAACATATTTGTTAACATTAACAAAAGAGCACATGTCCATGTTTGTGTTTAAATCTATTGTTATTCAATTCAAAGGTTAGAAATAAATGAAGGTTGTATGAGCAAAAGTTGAATAATCCTTTTTCAGCATTAATGACAGGCAATGACTATTATCATACCCTTGGTCGAATTCAATTTATATCAGCTTAGTAAAACAACAACTAAAGCAGGCAGTATGTTTCCAAAACACTAGTACTTGAAGTTCATTTGTAAGCACTAATCTTAGACTGACTTTTAATTTTCATTTTCATATTTTTTTTATTCAGTAAACAGAATACATGTATAAGCAAAATACGAAACAAGTGTTATAAATGCTGGTGACCTTGACCTTTGACCCTGTGATGAAGTTTTGGGTTGTATGTGGGAAGACTTCCATGTTATGATCAATGTTAAAGTTTTGTGACAAACAGGCAAAGAAGTAAAGGGTCTAAAAACAATATGCTTTCATTATTTATTGTCCTGGGGTCATAAAAATCAGTGCAAAACCATAACTTTTTAAAAACTGAATACCTTAAAATATCTTTAAATACATGATACATGTTAAATTCATGTGTAACTATATGAACACTTACACTAAACTGTTCTTTTAGTAACTCTGACATATCAACATCTTTGATATCTCCTCTCTCGTGTCCACTAATACGTATATTTAACGCACCACTATCTTCAGAGTTATCTGCCCCTGTATACAAATGACGTTTGAACATCTGAAGATGGAGTGTTGGCTTAATTTCAGCATTTATCACAGATGGAGGGGTAGGAACAATTAATGTGTTAGTAACTGGACCTGCAATAATGAACCATTATGAAATATCAAAACATTGTTCTGTATATGCATTATAATACATTGTAATACAAACTTCAAATATTTAGATACATCTATCTGAATAATTAAAATACAAAACCTATATGTTTATAATGTTTATCTGTGCACACATAATTTTGAAGCAAAACATCATGTTCCTTTATAGAGTGTGTGTGTGTTTTTTTGTTTTGTTTTTTGTTTTTTTTTAGTAATTATGTCAAACAAAAGTATTTTTAAATGACTAGCAAGCATAAATCAATTAATCTCAGACATCCCTATTCAAAATTTCTTCAATGTAACATTGAACTTTCATGTTTAGTTATCTTAAAAAAGGATTATAATGAAATCTGCACATAGTATCACCAACACTGTCAAGGTCAATGGCTACACTCATGCTTTACTGATGAAGGCAGATCTCAGGTTCCAATTTGTGCATTATTTTAGTTACAAGTGAACACCTCAGCCCTGAGTATAGCAAATTTCATTGTTTTTTTTATAAAAAAATAAACATGCTATCACTTCATAGTTTCCCCTATACCTTTATGTTGAAGTGTCCTCACACATTGCCCACTGAAGACATCCCATATTTTAACAGTGTGATCATGTGACCCAGAAACCACCTTGGTACCATCTATATTAACACTAACATTTGTTACTTGTTTGCTGAAAAGAAATTTATTGTAAACAATTTTTTGCCAGGTACATAATTAATACAATTCAAATTTAACAAAATTGCTACAATCTTAATCTTTAGAAATATGAAATAAAATTGTTTTATGATAGATTTCACGGAACAATATTTTAAACGGTAAAGTTCACTGTACAATATTTTAGACAGTAAAGTTCTTCAGAAAATGGTAACAAATTTGTTTTGCCATTTTTTATTTCTCTATACAATTTGTTTGGAGAGTAAGAGAGAAGTTTAGCTCAAGACAAGTTATCATAAAATACAGTGTCATACAAAATTGTTCCTATAAACTGAGAAAATAATGTCATGTCTATACCTGTGCCCTTTCAGACAAGAAACACCCTCCTGGTCATGTGATTCTATATGTCTCTCTGTTCTTATTGGCTGAAATTTCAAACATCACATTTACAGTAATACAGTTATTACATTACATATTAGATTTTTCAAAATACAACACAGCTAAATAAACATAGAGGAATAAGGTTGTATGAAATGGCTCTGTTTTAAAATGTGTGAAGGTCAGTTGCTATAATTATTAGTCGTCCATAAAATTACATTGTATATAAGGAGCTACACTGAGGTCAAAAGACCTTTAACATAAAATTTGAAATTTTTACATAGATCAAGCAAAGCACTTCAAATGAAAAAATTTCAAAAGGGTAATAAAGAAATATACTTAGAATTGAATTGAAAATCCACAGTTCTTATTATGAATGAAAAGCATTGCAACACTACATTTTTGGGTCGTTTAACACAATAAAAATAATTTCTGGAAAAAACAGATTGAGGGAGTGATTTGAAAATTTGCACATTCAGACCTACATCAAATAGCAAACAAATCTTTCCATTCCAGTATTGTCAAAAAAAAACCTTCTCTTAAACCAGTCTACACATACGATATTTATTTTTTTCTGTTGACAAAAATGACACTTTATATCTCACCTGACCATACATATTTATACAATAAACATCTCCATTACTGCCCCCAGCAAACAATCTATATTCTGCTGTATCCATTGTGACAGACATTAAACTGGTTGGAAACACAACTGTTTGCAACAGTTCTCCAGATACCATATCCCAGATCTGAAAACATTTGTATAATAAGCAGTGTTAAATAATCTGACAATTGAGGAATAAATAAATGGTTATTCCATCAAATCATAAATTTCACAGAAAATGCACATATTAAAGTGACCTTTTGCAAAATTCAAACATAGTTTTATTATTGAATTAGTATAGCTAAGAAACATTGGTACTAACCACCGGTATTTGTAGCACTTAATGTATGAACAGACTAATACAGATTAAACATACATGCACCTGTTTTTTTCAAATTGCTTAAGAGCGATAGCTGGTGAAATTGATGCCTGCTAACTTGTTAGGATTATTTCTTTTGTAAAGGCAGGCAAATATCTAGGAATACAGACAAAAAGCCCTCTTTACAAAAATGACAGGGCAGACAAATACTCTCCCGTGAAAATGACAGGGCATACTTAAGCCCTCCTGTGAAAATGAAAAGGGCCTTTTACCTTGCAGGTTTGGTCAAGAGATGATGAGACAACACGAGATCTGCTTCCACCTTTACCTACATGTACATCTGTTACAGGTAATGAATGACTTGACCATATCCTCACAGGCTCTGGTTTCCTTGTCGGATTGTTGATAGATGATAAAACACTGTAACAAGTTTATGGAACATCAATATAAAAATACAAAAATTGAGCTACTCACACTACAGATTCTGGTCAGACTGTATGAATATGCAGGCTGGCCAGGCATACTGGATCCTGTTGTTTAAAACATTGGTTAGTGTTAGCCAGTGGTTAAATTCATTATCCGCTTGTTAAATTTTGTCTGTTGGATAAATTCTGTTGCTCAAAACTTATCCCACGGATAAAATGCGTATCCAGCGGTTAACTTTAACCAGTCCTATGACCACCGGATAATGCCCTTAACCAGTGGTTAGTCATCATCATAAAACAGTAAAAATCATTAAAACTTGTTTTAAACCAGATTTTCTTACAAATATATGTTTAATTTTTCTTAACTAGAACATTTCATATATGCATAGGATTAAATTGAAACATTTCTGAAAAAGTGCTTTTAGAACTCTTTTTCAATCAAAATTTGTTGTTGTTGTAGTTCAAAAAAAAAAAAGCTAACCACTCGTCCTTCTAGCAGGTTAATGGTTCACAAGAGCACAACAAAGGCAACACAATATACCCCAAAATGAAAATATGTTTGTGAAATAAAAAAATGTTTTTATCTTTATTATCCTTAAGATATTTATTGACCTCAAGGGTGGGGGCATTTTGATTCTAGGTGCATGATTCATAGAGGTCAACTAGTCAAAGCTGCATGCCAAATTATTAATATATAAGCTCTGGGCATTGTAGTTTGCCACAAAATGATAATATGTTAGTCTGTATTTTGACCTTAGGATCATGATTAATATAACTTTTGTAGAAGAAATTGATACTTCATTCAAAATATAGTAAAGAATCTCTGTATATGGTAAGGTTACAAAATATTAGATGTATGTATATCAATAGTTCTCTTTCACTTTATAACAATTAATTAGAAGGCATATTTTTATGAATTTTTTTCCTGACTTTTTTCAATTAATCACAAGTGTTTTCAGGCAAAAGTATAACTCACAAAGTAGAAACAAAATTTCCTCTAAAAACACCTTTTAAGACTGAATTTAGAGTAAAACTTATCTTAAAATTATGTTACCTAACAAGTGACCATACAATCACTAGATTATCTTCTCCCCCTGATATAAAATGACTGCAGTTATCTGTAAATCTTAAAACATTCACTGTCTGGTAATGACGACTCAAAACTGACATCAAATTTCCTGTACACACCTGGAAATATAAAAACTTGTTTTCATTTTTCTCATCTGAAAAAAAAACTTCGCAAACTCATCATACCATTACTTTAACCTCAAACATATTTTGTGGATTTTCATAACAATTTACAAATATCATAAATAAGTTGGAAGTATTTACCTACATTAAACAAAAGAAGTAATATTCAAACAAGAGCCATGTCAACATGGCCACCCCCCGCCGAATGTGTTTGCTCATTGGAAGAATGTATATGTAGTAGAGCAGAATAATTCCATTTTAAGAGGTCTTTTGGCAATGAAAACTGATGGCTGAAGTGATTACAGATTTGAAACCTATGTGAATACTGATGGATGAAAATAACAAATGGCAATAACTGAAAAATAATGCAAGGTAGTTTATCATTCTTGTGTGCTGCACCCCTCCTCAGTAAAATCTATCCACCTATGAAGTTTCAAGTTGATACCTCAAATACTTTTTGAGATAAGCTCTGGACAAAATTGTATGAAAAAGAACAAAGGGCAATAACTCAAAAATTATATAGGGAAGAGTTATCATTCTTATGCACAGCATTCCTCCTCAATAAGATCTTGCCATCTATGACATTTCATGTAGGAGTGCAGTGCACAAGAATGATAACTCTACCCTGCATAATTTTCAATAACTCAAAAATTATATAGGGAAGTGTTATCATTCTTGCGCACAGCATTCCTCCTCACCTATGACATTTCATGTTGATATCTCAAACACTTTTGAGTTATGCTCCACTCAGGAAAAAAATTTAGTATGAAAAATAACAAAGGGCAATAACTCAAAAATTATGAAAGGTAGAGTTATCTTTCTTGTACACTGCACACCTCCTTAGTGACATTTATGCACCTATGAAGTTTCATGTTGATATCTCAAAGGCTTTTTGAGTTATGCTCTGGACAAAAATTAATTTTGAAAAATAACAAAGGGCAATAACTCAAAATTATGCAGGGTAGAGTTATCATTCTTGTGCACTGCACTCCTCCTCAATGAGGTCTATCCACCTATGAAGTTTCAAGTTGTTACCTCAAATACTTTTTGAGATATGCTCCGGACAAAAATGTCGGACGGAAGGACGGACGGAAGGTCGGAAGGACGGACAGACCGACAGAGACTATTTCTATATCCCCTGCCGCCTTTTTGGCGGGGGATAATAATCAAGTAAAGTACATATTCTAATTGACTTAAAGATACTGAGCTAAGACTTTATCAATTCATTTAATATGATTAATAAATTTATGATTTACTATATGCCTATTTTCACCTGCCATAAATGAATTTTTTCTCCCACTGCAGCAATACAGTATGTCCCATCAGGTGATACAGCAAGGGCAGTAACTCTGCCAGGACAGATAATCTTCAACTGATGCTGCTCCTGTAACATTGAAATACATGAACATCAACAAATTAAGGACACCATTGAAAATTCCAAAATTATATTTTATCTTTGAAAAAATATACATGTATGTGGTTTAATTAACCTACATAATTAAAGGTCTTAATATTCTATCATGTAACAAAGCCCATTTCAAAGATAATGATGCCATTGATTTATATTAATTTTGCTCATTAAGCCTCAAAACCTGCAATAATAAATTGAAAAATAAAAAAATGTTAACCATGACTATCTGATTTCATCTTACCCTTCTTTGTAAGGCCCAGACATGAATGAGAGGTTTAGAACATGATGTTCCCAGTAAATACTGGTTACCAAGGATACACAATCCCCGATGATTGGTACTTTCACCTTTGTAAAATGTCAGACTAGTACCAGTGTGTATATCCCAAACACAAGTATTCCATAACTGACCTGACAAATCACTTGTAAACAGTACCTGGCAAAATAAAAAGAACAAGCAATTATCATAGTATTGCAAGCAATCCATAAGTCCCCTACCGGTTAGAACCCCATCAACATTCTGAAGGGCCATTGGCCATTCACTAATGTTTCAATTTTTCTCTATTTTAAGTAAATTTGTTGGAAAAGTTCTTTAAAAGTGATCACAGGAAACAGTTTTTATGAACAGACAGACGGACTGAAGGACACTCTAAAGTTAATATTTGAAACATCCCTGTTACCAAAATATAACATTTTAAAAGCAAAATTCTTAAAGAGGAGATAACTCTTGAATTAAAGATGCAATTTCATAAAAAATTTCAGCTCTTTTTGACTAATCACAAATATTGTTTTATTTGCCATGTTTTAAGCCTATTTGTTGCCAAGGCAACTGATATTTTATCAAAATAGGAAGAACGGATAAGACATGCATAATCTCAAGACTGCTATCTACCCATATGTCAAGTTTCATAAAAATATTTCCAGTACTTTTTGAGTTATAACTGGATTCAGTTTATGTGTAAAATTTGCCATATTTTCAGTCTATGTGTTGCCATAGCAACCAGAATTTTCAACATAGGAAGAAAAGAAAAAGACATGCATAATCTCAAGACTGCCATCTACCCATATGTCAAGTTTCATAAAAATATTTCCAGTACTTTTTGCGTTATCACTGGATCCAGTTTATGTGTAAAATTTGCCATATTTTCAGCCTATTTGTTGCCATAGCAACCAAAATTTTCAACATAGGAAGAAAAGAAAAACACGTGCATAATCTCCATACTGCCATTTATTCATATACCAAGTTTCATAAAAATATTTTCAGTACTTTTCAAGTTATCGTGGGATCCAGTTTATGTGTAAAATTTGCCATATTTTCAGCCTATTTGTTGCCATAGCAACCAGAATTTTCAACATAGGAAGAAAAGAAAAAGACGTGCATAATCTCCATACTGCCATGTATCCATATACCAAGTTTCATAAAAATATTTTCAGTACTTTTCAAGTTATCGCGGGATCCAGTTTTGTGGACGGACGGACTGACGGACTGACAGACGGACTGACAGACGGACGGACAGACGGACGGAGGGTAAACCTAAAGTCCCCTCCGGTAAACCGGTAGGGGACTAATAATGAGATTTTCTAACTTTGGAAGAACAATTATATCATTAATTGTGTTTTATCTATACAATCTATCTCTCAATAAATCTCAAATGGAAAAAAATTAGAGAAAGTGAGAGTTTCAAATCAGAACAATATTTTCACAAGTTGAATTTGTTAAATAGATTTTCCCTGTCACAGATTTGGGACAGTCAATTCAGAGCTTAAAGGACTTCAATATCAAAATACATAAGTTGAGGTGCCAAGAGCATACAGTACAGCCTGGTTATATTGCACAGTGATGCATGCTGACCTTGTTGTCTACAGTACTGGTGGCAAAGGCTTTTCCCTTTTGGTTCAAGCATGTTTAGGATTTATTTATATAGGTTGATATACAGGGATTTTTTTGGCTTATTTTATAACCGTTATTGGGACATATTCCCAATTGAAAATAGTATATTATTTTCCCAATTTACAGGAAAAAATTCCCAATTGAAAGTTACAAAATAAAAATATTGAATAAAAAATCTAAAATCTTAGCAAATAAAGGCTTCTTCACTGTATTAGTGCTTAAATGTTTGAAGATGCCATCAAAGACAGTAATTGTTTGCATCCATTTAATCACGGCAAAATTCATGTAATGCATTTTTTTGATGGGGGGATGTGAACCATGAAAAATAATGCAGCCCTGGTAAATTTGAGAAAGCTGTTATGTATAACGACAAAATTTATTGGGGCTTCTTATTCGCAGGAGCCGTATTGAGTTTACAGGTACCAATGTGGGTGGGTCCTGTCTTACAAGAGTGCAGGGTTTACATCTTTAAACAGATTGGTGATCCGTATCACCAGTTAAATTCTGTTAAAATCGCTTGTATATTCAGCCTGTATATTACAATATCACACTTGACCGTTGGCAAAAATGGTTGTTTTCTTTGGCAGGCCTCGACACTAACTTTTTTAGCAGGTGGTACGCCGGACCACTAGATTTGAAAGTTAGGTGGTCCTTCCAGAAGTCAGGTGGTCAGTTATCACTATTATATCATTTTACTGCAAATGTAGAAAAAATGTTTAAACTTTATGACAAAGATGTATTAGTAACCTTTAAAGAAAACAGATATTTTTAGATATACAGTTAAACTTCGTTCGCTCGAACTCGGATCGCTCGAATACCTCCCTTCGCTAGAACTCATCGCCCAGTCCCGGCAAAATTCCTATATAATATATATTGTTCTACCTCGGATCACTCGAACACCGATCGCTCGAACTCTCGAACCTGATCTCTGGTCCCTTCGGCAGATATATAGTGAAAATCACATCTTTACTTGTACGTGTGTTTATTTAAGTAAATGACTACAAATAAATGCTGCTGTCGAACTTTTTCTTAAATATTTCATTAATTTAATTTTTAAAATTAAAAAATCCCATTATAAACATATAAATATATTTTGAACATTATTCAACAAATTTGGTGTGATTGCCCAATCGAACTCAACCAATTACAAGATGCATGCATATAGATTAACACAACCTATCGTTAATACTTAATTGAAAACACTGGGATAATAATTCTGAATATGACATATTCGACGAACAAATGTACTAAAAAACAATTATATTTACGTATTTATCATCCGACCAATGTATGCTATAAATCTTTAGACATATGATCAACTAATAATAGTTTGACCTCGGTTGGCTCGAACTACCGATCTCTCGAACAAATTTGCACAGGCCCTCCGAGTTCGAGCGAACGAAGTTCGACTGTATATTTTTCATCTAATCAGAAAAAGGAGAGCAAGTCAGTAGGTATTTTATCGCATTTGTTTTTATCTCAGTCAAAAATACACAATAGAGCTCTTATTTATGTTAACTTTTATATTAAAGTGATTTCTCCCTCAACTCAAGCTAGGGAATAGTGAAGCCATTTGTGTCTGTTATTTTCTTACTGTTATTCAAATATTCATTGCTGATACATGGTACGTCTTATAATCATGATAATAACATAGCATCTTTTATAGATTAATATTTTTAATGGAACTAATAAATTTAACTTATTCTTGTCTTTGAAAACAAGGAAATATCTAAATCATTAAAATAATGACAACGTTATTATTTACTATAACTTATCTTATTTTTCTCACAGATTTACAATACAGAATTTTATCTCCCTGTTTCTTGTTGGTTGATATTCATTTTTGACATTGGGTATTTTTAACCTTTTAAAATAATTTTAACTCTAGATGAAACAGATCTCTTATCGTTAAACAGTTAAAATAAAGATAAATAGCATAGAATTACTAGATGTATTTTTTCCAGTTCCTTTCGTTTGCTGTCGTTATTCAAGTATCTGAAATTTAAGTTTATCCAATATCATATAACTACCATCATCGGATACTCACGGTTGATTAACATGTAACATAACATAAATGTTAATGGCTCCGCTGTGGTTATCAGACGATGCATAATTACTAGCACCATTTGAATGGATTTTGTACCTAAATTTATATCACAAATTCTTAACTCTTTTAACTTGCATACTTAAAATGAAAGTTATTGATGACTTAAGAACTTCTTTAACTAATGATAATCAGAGATTAATGAACCATATACATGTACATCGGACATAGATTTTAAACAAAATTATATAACATGTTTTTGACCAAATCGCCATTCTCCCAAATGAGCCTTGCATCAACCAGAAAATTCAAGTGGTCCAATGGACCAGTGGGTTTTAAAATTAGGTGGTCCTTGCTAAAATCAAGTGGTCTCGGACCAACGGACCACCGCTAATGTCGAGGCCTGTTTAGTGCATCTGTTCAGACTGCTGCCTCAAATAAAAATGAGAACTTTGTGAGTGGGACTGTGTCTGTACCTGGTTTAAACATATTTATTTAAATATTGCGAAACAAGTTCTTGCAACTTATATCAATCACTTTCGAGTCCGCATCCTGGAACCAACCAGTACTGGTGTCTTATGGAGAAACATGGTCGTGACCCGAGTAGGGCTCGAACCCATGATCTCTGGGTTGAGAGCCTCAGAGGCAGACACCTTAACCATTAGGCCACCGCTCCCCTTGTCTATACTGCCTAGAATTCTTACAGATACAGGAGAGGCATACACGTTGTAGTATCAAACACTGACAGCGAAAATAAAGAAGGGAACTTTGTTGCATGAGCCTCTGATTTAGAGAAACCAAACAGGCAAAAGTCTTAGCTACACAGCGTATCGCGAAAACTAATGAAAACTCAGATATTGCTCCAATTCTCCAAATCAAAATAAAAGAAGAATTACGTTAGAATAAACATGGTTTTAATTATTCATATAATTGGCTTATCGATGTTTATGATCTTGTCTTAGAAGAAATATTTATGTATTTATGTACACATTACCTCAATGGGGGCAGACATTTTGAACGGCACAGTCTAAACGCGGACGCCTTAAGCAGTCAAAGTAGACAGTATAAACATAAATATAAGTTTGAATATATTTGAACACTTTGCATATGCAATGCGCGGACACTATAAACATATAGGGAAAACGCTGACAATAAAGACAGAGGAAAAAAAGCGGACGATATAGATATACTGTATAGTGTAGATTGAAAATCTTTCCAAATATACAAATAATATTTACTTTGATTTGTAATTTACTTTTGTTTCTTAATTGCACATTTAATTGACATATTGGCTGAATCTTCTTTTGTTTGTGTACATATATAAATATGAAATAGTGGACGAATGAGTATGTTTTTGAAAATCACTGAAAATTAACGTTTACCGGTGAAAAAACACGTGTTGCAAATTAACTGGAAACATAACAATTAACTGCGAATGACTGTCACATTATTAAAATTGTCGGCTCTTTAGATATTGAACAATTAGGACATTAATTTCAAAGAACAATAAACAACAAAACAACATTGGGACCAATCATGATATTAATTTCAGTCGTCATGTTTTTGGTCTTCTGTATTTTTTTTTCTCACAACTTTGTAATTTCAACTTAGTTAATGGTAAAACTTTTAATGGTAATGTATAAATACAGTCAAATGAATACATAAAAAATCTTTTTCAAGTATGAAAACTGTATATGTTAAATTATTTAATGTTATTTTCAATTCTGGTATTGTACCAAATGATTGGACAGTTGGAATTATTAACCCAATATATAAAAATAAAGGGGATGTTAGTGACCCGTCAAATTATAGACCCATAACATTGTTAAGTTGTATGGGGAAACTTTTCACTGCAATTTTAAATATGCGTCTGCAAAAATATACTGAAAATTATAATTTGATTAACGAATACCAATTAAGCTGTATTCCGAAAAGGATTTTCATCATTTTCTACACTTGATAATATGTTTGTACTAAATACTTTGCTTGATCTATTAAAAAAAAGTAAAAAGAAACTGTTTTGTGCCTTTGTTGACCTTAAACGTGCGTCTGATAGTGTGTGGCGTTCAGGACTTTGGTGTAAACTATATGCTGTTAATTTAAATGGTAATTTTTTGAATGTTGTTAAAAATATATATGAAAATGCAAAATCTTGTGTAAGGGCAAATATGGGAACAAATCAATATATTTTTCATGCACTGCCGGTGTAAGACAAGGTGAAAATTTATCGCCGCTTTTATTTTCATTATTTCTAAATGATTTACATGCTTATTTTTCCAACAGTGGTCTAGTCGAAAGCGTCAATTGTTATAATAATGATTTTGATGGAAATTTTATGTACTTTTTAAAACTTTTTATTTTATTGTATGCAGATAATACTGTTATTTTGTCAGAATCTGCTAAAGATCTACAAGACGCTTTAAATGTCTATGCAGCGTATTGTGATAAATGGAAATTGGTTCTTAACACTTCAAAAACAAAAGTTATGGCTTTCGCAAGAGGTACACAAGTTCAACACAATTTTACTTATAATAATGAAGATATCGAAATTGTTAATGAATATAAATATCTTGGAATTATCTTTAGTAGGAGTGGATCTTTTTTAAATGCAAAAAGCATATAGCCAAACAAGGAACAATAGCAATGTATAATTTAATTTAAAAAAGGCTAAATCACTATACTTACCAATTGACATCCAAATAGATTTGTTCAATAAAACTGTTAAACCAATTTTGCTCTATGGATGTGAAATTTGGGGTTATGGAAACATTGACATATATTATTTATTCATTATTATAGTCTCATCTATACACATATATACATATAAAACATTTAAAACATTAAAATTGTATATAGCCATTCTCGAAAGAATTACAAGAGACTTGTTATAGCTAATACTAAGAGGGATAACTCCACAATCCATATTATAGAAATGTATAATATGTATTGTATATTTACCACATTCTCAACATTTACATCATATAAATCAATTGCAATAGGATGACATAATTGAACATTGTCATTATTAAAAAGTTATTTGAGACATTTAATTACAAAATTATTGTAGACTTTTTACATTCTTAAAGTTTGATAACCTCTACTGACCTTGTCTTAAAAACTTCCATAAGAAACTATACTGTAAAATACTAAATTTTGTAATAAAAGCACTATCAAGCAATATAAAAAATGGTTTTACAAAATCATTTGTCACTCATGTTTAGACAATGGATGAACTGTTCAGTAGTGATTATCAAAACATAGGGATAAAACTTATTTATGAAATTAAAATATATCATATTCTATACATGTATTAAAATTTCCATGTGTGTAAAATGATATTAACTGTTCACTCCAGGCATGAGGTGAGATACAGACATAACATCACATTCTTGTTTATGAATTAAGAAATGTTCTAAAGACTAACACTTATATTTAACAAATAAAAATAGAATTTTCAGTGAAACAAACATACTAAACTGTCAGTATCTGTAAGTATACCCCATCTCCTACATAGAATGAGATAATATAACTTTGCTTTACACTATTTACGCTACTAATACTTATAATAAAAATAATATATGACTAATCCTGAAATGTAGTCTGTTAAACTATTTATATAAATGATTGTTTCTGGCTTTTAAAATCAAAAAGCACGTTTTGGAACTCACTTGTAACATATGTTCATTTGAGAGTACAAAGTTTAATTTATCCTGATCACATAAATTGTTAAATGAGGCATCAATCTCAATAGCTTTATTAACAATATCATTTCTGAGACTCTGATACAATGGGCAATGAAATAAAACATGAACTGCATTTTCCACTGCAAGTTCACAAATCGGACATAGACGCTGTTCTTCTGGGATATTTTCATATCTCCCCGTTTCTAAACGGAGGTGGCAACTCCACATCTAAACTTAGCTAACGCACACTTGTATTTACTAGACAAAGTTGAACATTCAACATACTTTTCAGTTTCATAAACAGATTTAAACTGCGTATAAGTCCTAAGTTTATTTCTACCTCTACCAGAGGGACCCGTGACATTTTGAATACTGGTTCTCCAATCATGAATGAAAGTATCCATGGTGCACTTACTTATCTTATCACAAAAATATTTGGAAGACATGTTAATACAATCATTCGACAAATTCAATAAATTGTTTGACAATAGATGTTTCTTATACAGAAATTGCCATTTTTTGCAACTATTATTACCCTTACTGTCACAAAATCTAAAAATCTTGAAATTAATTCTCTCACTATCCATTGACTTTACTCTATGCCAGCGTTGAGACACAGATCTCCACTGTTTCACATGAGGGGGTTGCCATGATAGAAAGAGTTCAACTTAAGTTTTTAAAATATATTTTAGGATTAAAATCTTCTACCTCAAATACAATAGTGTATGGTGAAACAGGTGTAACACCGCTCTCAGTAGATATAGAATCAAGATTAGTTTCTTTTTGGGCAGATATAGTTGTTCCAAAGACGTTTAAACTAACGCAGACAATGTATTATTTTGCTCTTTATAGTAGTATTTTTTTAATACACAGCAAAGCAATAATTTTATGTGGATAACGTGTATTAGAGATATACTCGTCAAATGCGGCATGAACAATATTTGGGACACACATCTTTTTCCAAATCAAAAGTGGTTGACCGCAACAGTTAAACAAAAGCTAATAGACCTGTTTCTTAACAGCTGGTAACTTCTGGAAAGTGTAAAAATTACAAGTTATTTAAACATAAATTCGAATTTGAAAAGTATATCACAAAAACACATCTTAATTTACTTAGATATCTGATTAAATTTAGAACAAGAAACCATAGATTACCAGTAGAAACGGGATCTTGGCATGGGATAGAACTTAATATGAGAAATTCTACATTATGTAATTCCTCAGTTGGAGATGAATTTCACTACCTTCTAGAATGTAAATATTTTGATCGTCAAAGAAAAAAATACACATGCACATCCCTCATTTCCGAAAAAAAAGTTACATGCCTTGAATTCATTTCATTGCTTACAAAGTGTTAATTTGAATTGGATTATTAAATTATTGTGTTCTTTAACTTTTAAAGTGTAATTGTGTATCAAATATTATATAAAGTGCTTTCACTAAGGTATTGTTAAAATGGCATTCGTTGTAGGACACAGTCAAGTAAAATATATGAGTGATTATTTGTGTCAACATTCGTACTGTGTTTTCCTATCCTGGATATAAAACCCGCCAGTTTTGTTTCGAAGAGAACATTTTTGAAGTTGCTCCATATTTTTCGGTAAGTTCATATCAATGATATTCCCCATTTTTGTAGTTTTATTAATATTTTATCCATTAAGTAAGTAAAAAAATCTTTCTACTATGAATACATATTAGCTAATTGAAGTATCCACGGGTCACCTGTGTATGTACCGACACTTGTATATTTCAAGTAATCATACACCTCACCCTTGTATAACTAATAAAGTGGCTACAGAAAATGCGGACAATATAGACATATAGTGAAAAGCGGGCGATATAGATAAAGAAGGAACACGCTGACGAAATAAATGTATAACACGGGAGAATAGAAAACTGTTATGAATAAAAAAAAATCTGGCTTCTACCATGTATTTAATTAAGTTACATCAATTAATTTTCTTTTATTCATCATATTTTTTAGTTTTATTTATATTTTACTTATTAAGTAACTAAAATACTTTCTGCCAATCAACAAATTCAAGTATCCACGTGCCACCTGTGTATTTGACTTAATCACGCACCGACACTTGTATATTTCAAGTAATCATACACCTCACCCTTGTATAATTAATAAAGTGGGTGCAGAAAATGCGGACAATAGAGACATATAGTGAAAAAGCTGAAAAAGCGGGCGATATAGATATAGAAGGAAAACGCTGACGAAATAAATGTATTACACGGGAGAATAGAAAAATGTTATAAATAAAAAAATATAAAATTGCAATGAAGTTCATTCTTTATCTTCGTTTTTATTACTGCACAATATTACTATACACTATCATTATCTATTTTATTATAATTTTATGTGAGATAATAATTTTATCTCACACATCATTCTACACTATATCTGTAGCGCCCGCTTTTTT